AGCATCAGCCGCGTATGCTGGGAACCCAAGAACGCCGCTGTTGAAACAGGGCAGAATAGAAAGAGCGTAATGAAGCTTCATATTGAAGGAGCCAAGTCAAAAAGAGCGTGAGAATCGAATGATACGACGTGGGGTTGAAAGAATGACGATGGATGACTGACGGTTGCCGGTGGGCGCGTGTCAATGATCTAGAGGTGGAGGATTTGAAATCGGACTATTATTCTTGGCCAGTCCCTTTTACTATGGAAGTTTTACGGGCCGCTGGTTCCGCGACGTGCGGAAACCAAAGATTGGGATCAACTCGAGTTGGCCTAATCGTGGGCATCGAAAGACTGCCGGCTAGGAGAAACAACATGGGTGGGCAGTTATCGTCGGCTTCACTGTTGCGGCCCCCAATCCCACCGGCACTTTCGCCTTCCTCATCATGCTAGGAAAAGATCTCCTCAGGTTCTTTAGCTGCTGAATCTCAGAATCTACCCATTAGGGATCTGGTAGGTATCAATCTGTTGGAAAGAGCAACCCTCACCAGGGTGATAGTTGGGGGTTGCCCGGTTGGTTGCTGTCAAGAAGAACTTTACCAGTTTAGCTCCAATGCCCCCTGGCCAGCATGTAACCCTTGAGAAATGAGCAATTGTCATATCGAGGCAGCCCGGGATTGTTTACCCAAGCGATCTGCATTCAAATTCCCCGATGGCCCCATTTTTGAACTCTGAGGTCTCCAAAACTTTGACGGACTCTCCGGGAACGTAGCAAACTTCTGTCAACGTCTTCTAGTGTGAACAGTAGGACTTGTACAACTTGGCTGCCCACTGATCGGCTGGTAGGAACTTAGGCTGGAGAAAGCCCAGGCTTACAGGGTTGCATCAAGGCGCCGAAATTCACAGAATGCCGATTCGGGTTCTCACGCTTCCCGAATAAACCGCACACCGCTGGTCGACGCCCCTGCACGGTGCAGTGGTCCCAGTTCCATGGCTCAATGGATGCGATGTACTCCGTACATACTGCCCATCAGCAAGATATCAGGGGCAGATTCCTATGAGACCCAGCCCATGGGGCAGTGTCAGACGCAATTGGGTAATTGCTTGTCATTCCTTGTGTTCCTGGTCCCTATTCCAGCACCATACGACGAAGATCTCCAACAAAACCGGGTATGGAATGCAGAAAGAATTTGAGAAAGAAACATCCACTGGACCGGGTCTCCGCGATTACTCCATCCCACCGCCTTCGCCGTCTGCACCCGTGCTGCCTCACCACCTCTAAGCTCTGGCATCTCACCAGCTGTGCCAGCTCAACCCACAGTCCGTAGGTATGAAGTCGTAATGGCAGAGTCTAGGATGACTAGCACGTGGCCCAGTCGCAGGGTCTGAAACAGATCCTTGTCTGTCATAATTCACGATGCACCCCGCTAGACATGGGATCCCGGAAAGCTGACCGCTCCATATTTGATGTATTTGGCAACGGTCTTTCAGGAGAAGAAGGAATGCAACATTCTCGCCTTGCTGCTTTCGAAGTAATGATGTGTAAAATGACTTTCAGAGAGGGTTACATAGACGATTAGGGGGCGTTCATTATGCACATGGGTAGATATACCAATCGAGCTAGTAGGGCTTGGTGATTTTCGCCAAGAAGTGGCAAAGACCAACAAGGACTCTCTTGTCATTGGAAGTTAGAAAGATCAAGGCCCGTCTGACGCTGTTCATTCAATGATCCAACGCGTCCCGTATCTGTTGATGGGCACCCGCCCACAAATCGAAACAAACCCTGCCGCCAGCTAACTTCCCAGAACCTGGTTTTGTCTTCGATGAAATGGAAACAATAACGTACGCCGGGATGTCGGCAGATGTGGCACAGATTCGGGGCCTTTTGGATCAAAAGATGAAAGAGCCTTGAATAAGTCTTCATCCAACGGGATTCAGTCTTTCATTCCTCCTTCTCCGTCTCTTCTCCTTTTTCCTTCTTTCGTCTTTTCGAATTCCGTTTCCGGCCCTCAAAGCTGGGACTTGAAACCATGAAGTTCTTTGCTTTTATTTTGTTACTTTCGGCGTGGTGTCAAGGCGTGTGGGGTCTGTCCAAAACAGTTGATACCCCCGCGTCCACGGAGACTCCTCCGTTGTGCGGCGTAAGTCATAGACCCGGCTGGCTGCCGAAGGCCTTGTAGAACTGACTTTGGAATAGTTGCAATGCATTCAAACAGTTACTTTGGCGACACAGCTATGCTCGCTTACCAACGCAACTTGCATATGCACAAACGTCGAGCTGAATGAGAAAATTTCACTCTGTGTACACTCCAACTGCACTGTTCGGGAGGCACTACGTACGTTGATACTCGCTAATATTGACTGAAGTTTGACGTGCTTACAAGATTATCAGAGGTTCAAAGCTACTCCAAGCATACTTGCGGCGCACCGTCACAAGATCGAACTGCCTTAGTATGGGTCACCGGAGTTGTTTTCCTTGTTCTTGGCCTTTTGGCGTTCGTGTTGAGAGTCATGGCCCGACTTTGCTTGGGTGGCCAGTCTTGGGGGCCAGATGACTGGGTTATGTGCATTGCCGTGGTGAGTCAACTCTTCTTGAGCCCTATGCAAATTGTGGAATTACTAACAGAATGCCAGGGCATGATGATACCACTCAATGCTCTCTCAGTTCCAAGTAAGTCTCGTCAAGTTCAACCGGGGTTTTATGATACTGACTCGTTGCCAAAAGTCTCACAAGTTGCTCTGGGCAAAGACATTTGGAATGTCCACCCTGACGACGTAACACAATTTCTCTATGTAAGTCTTTATCTGCACGATTTCTTCAGTGTCATGGCTGACTTCCGGTAACAGCTCTTTTACTGGGACGAGCTTCTCTACCTTGGAGCTCTGCCGGTGACCAAAATCTCAATTCTGCTCTTCTATCTCAAAATCTTTCCCAAGAGAGAAATCAGAATTGGTTGCTGGGTCCTTATCGGGCTCAATGTTGCATACTTCATCACGTTCGAGCTCATCTCGATCTTTCAGTGCCGTCCGATCGATGGGGCCTGGAGAGCATGGGACAAGGAGTACCCGGCAAAATGCAACAACATCAACGTGCAGGGTTGGGCCGCTGCGATTATCAACATTCTTTTGGACTTGGCAACATTGATTCTTCCATTGAAAGAATTGTACAATCTTTCGCTGTCCACGAAGAAGAAGCTTATGGTTATTCTGATGTTTAGCGTTGGTTTCTTGTATGTTTGACCTCTTTCCTCTTCCTCTGGGCATCGTGTGCTAACGAATATATAGTGTTACTATTGTGAGTGTAGTACGGTTGCATTCGCTAGCCAGCTACGCCACCACCAGCAATGCGACGCGTAAGTTTCCTCTCTAGGAAGCCGTGAAAAAGGATCATGCTAACATTATGCCAGAGGACTATGTCGAGGTCGGATACTGGAGCACTATTGAAGTCCCTGTAGGCGTCATTTGTGCTAGCATGCCGGCCATCCGCTCCCTATTCAGTCTGGTCTTCCCCAAGGTGTTTGGCACCACTCAAAGGGGCAAGTCGAACTACGCCAATCTTTCAAGCCAACAGAAGAATCTTTCCAACTCCCAGAAACTTTCATCCAAGGGTTCATCGAAACCAGCCATCCGAGTGCTCAAGGAGTTCTCGGTTAGGTCGAGACATCGGGACGATGTCTCATACGTCGAGCACGAACTGACGACTGGGCCTTTTACTGATCCCAGTTCACGCCCGTCATCAGAGAAAAAGCCAATTACTCCACATGAGTCTGTGTGAGTATGGTGCCATGAGGAATTATACTGGCCGGCGTTCATTTGCCTTTTCTTATTTTCACTCCCTCATCCAGTCCTTTTCATGGTTTGGCAATATTTAGACACAGAAGAGGATCGATCCCGCTGCCGTTTTGTAATTCTGGCAGCATAAAGCTGTACTAAGATACCACATACGAACATAGAACATAAACATAATTCACACCGTCATTACGGAAGTCAAACCTTGCCCTGAGACTTTCCTGCAGTCCGCATTACCCGCTAGGTCAAAGTCCGAGACCCATGCTCCACGCCATCCAAATCTAGTCATGTTTCCTTGGAAATGTTTCTCTTGGTTAGCCCTACCCCAGACCTAGCTGTCGAGCTCACGGATACGCTAAAATCCCGAACGCCACTTGACGGGATGAGAATCCTCTTCATGGCCGTTGACCACTGCGCTAGCCAGTATAAGCGTTGAGCAGAAAACGTAAATGCTCGAGGAGTGGAGCAAAGTCGTCGGAACATGGGTTGTTGTCAAGGGTCTCCTCAACGCATTGCCGATCTTTGCCCTTCTTTGGCCTTCAAGAGGCTTCACATCTTTCATTCCTATCTCGCCAAAACTTTCTCTACAGAGCATATCTCTCCGCCAGAGTCCCGTTCTCATCTTCTTCCCCTGCGAAATCAATCTTTCTCGAAGGTTTCAGTGGCTTGTAGTGGGGGCTATGCCATTTCCATCTTGGGACTTATTGAGGGTCTGGGCCCCCCGTTGTATCTGTCATTGCGATCGTCTGCCTTGCAGTTTTAGCCCAGCCGGAGGCTAGGAAGCGGTCCGCAGAAAGACTGCCCGCAGCAATGTCTGAGTCAACCTCCCTGTAGAGCCATTGTCAGAGCGCACATCGGCTCCCTCGCGCAACGCAACCCTTGTTGATGCCGAACCATCGCGAATTGCACCAACGTCAATCTAAAGACGAAGTTAGTCTTATGTCTGCGTTGCATCGTCAGAATCAAGCCCTTGGCAGCTGTTATGCCAACATTTGGTCTTGCCTAAACAAACTTTCTGCTGCATGATCTAAGGTTTCTCGTGGCATTGCTTCCTAGTCGCTCATGGTTCTTCTCAAGTGAGCAAAGCCGGATGCGGAAGCCTGCTCAACCTTGTATCCATCCAGTCCCAAATCAGTCTTCTTGTCCCATTCGCAATTCATGTATTGGAGGGTGGCATCGGCACTGAGAACTGACCCACTTCTCTTCTGCCCTCGTACGAATGAGCAGGGCCTGACACTGACAAGCTTGGGCTTTCCGTATCCATGAGTGTTCTGAAGTTGAGATCCTGGCTCATGAAGAGGAGAACACAGTTGTCCTCATGGCCATGCCGTGAAGCAGTCCACCAACCCGAAAAGAAGTCGTCATGGAGGACGATCAACATCAAGACCCGGTATCTTAGAGCGGAGTACGAACACGGCATCTCCTGAGCTTGTCACCTGGGACAATTCCCATCCCCTAAACTGGCAGTCCTCCGATGGGCCTCACTTCCACAAGACAGGGCTTGAATGTCAGACCGCCTATCGACACCGCTTAGCTAATGGCTGACCTCTCCTTTCTTTTCCATTCGAGCTGTCTCATCACTGTCGTTGGCCCAGAATATCAAGCTTTCCAACGCGACTTGTCTTCGATCTGACTCGATGTTCTGAGACTTCTGTATCCATCCGACCCATTGTCACTCTTTTTCCACTTCCCAGCAGCCCGTGTTGCCAAGCGCCCAAGATGCGCATTTCACTCCTTTTCACACTCGTTACCGTTTTGACCGACTCGGTCTCTTCTATGTAAGTGGAAGTCCAGTCTTCATCAGCAGATTTCTTGCTAGGCAACTCAAGAAGCTGACCTTGCCATCAGTGCTGTTCCATGGAAGACTACAAGACAACAGCCACGTCATGAGCCCTTTATTGGTCGACGTGCCGCCAACACTACTCTTGACATCTACGACTATGTAGTTGTTGGTTCCGGTCCTGGAGGAGGCCCCGTTGCGGCCAATCTTGCCATTGCCGGCTACAAGGTTTTGCTGATTGATGCCGGAGGAGACTCGGGCGACGCATGGACGGAGAAGATCCCGGCTCTTCATCTTATGTCCACTGAGTTCGAAGACACGAGATGGAACTACTTTGTGAGTTTTTGGCGCGGAGGACTTGCTGGCAAGTGCCTTGACTAATGCCATGTAGGTCAACCACTACCCCGACCTTGACCAACAGAAGAGGGACTCCAAGATGACGTACGAGATGCCTGACGGTAGTTTCTACGTCGGACTTGATCCTCCAGCTGAAGCAACCCCTCTCGGTGTCTGGTACCCTCGCGCCGGAACCTTGGGTGGCTGTTCTCGCCACAACGCTCTCATCACCATCAATGCTCACGATAGCGATTGGTCCAACATTGCCACCCTCACCGGTGATGATACCTGGAGCCCTAACAACATGCGGTCGTACTTCCAAAAGATTGAGAAGAACATGTACCTGCCATCCAGCATCATCGGACACGGCTATAGTGGATGGCTTGGTACTTCGCTCACTTCCTTGTCACTCGTAGTCGAAGATCAAAAGCTGTTGTCGTTGATCATCGCAGCTGCTACTGCCATGGGAAAGAGTCTTCTTGGACTGTTGCTCAGCACCGTCGCAGGCCTCGGCCAGGTTCTACTTCGTGATCTGAATGCTCCCGGCCAGACGAGCAAGACTGGATTGTACCAGGTTCCGCTCTCGATGACTGATTCCATTCGTGGTGGTCCCAGAGACTTGATCTTGGATACAGCCAACGCTGTCAACGCTGATGGATCGCGCAAGTATCACCTTGATATCAAGCTCGACACTCTCGTATGCCCACTTGATCTAGAGTTCCACGGGCCTTCATTTACTAACGGCCCTTAGGTCACGAAGATTCGATTTGATGAAAGCGGCGACAAGCCTCGCGCTGTCGGTGTGGACTTCTTGGAGGGCTCCAGCCTTTACCGTGCCGATCCCCGCTCAGGAGCTGCTTCCTCAACCGGCTCTGGCAGTGTTGATGCTTCCCGTGAAGTCATCATCTCGGCTGGATCCTTTAACACGCCTCAGCTTTTGAAGCTCAGTGGCATTGGTCCAAAGGCCGAGCTCGACTCCTTCAAGATTCCTATCGTCGTTGATCTCCCAGGTGTCGGTACCAACATGCAGGACCGATATGAGGCAACTGTGATTGGCAAGACCAAGAGCGACTTTGTTATTACTAGCAAGTGTACCTTCCTGGAGACGTCTCCCGACCCTTGCCTTGAGGACTACAAGAACGGACTTGAGCCCATTACAAAGGGCGTGTACGCCACCAATGGTATCGCAATTGCCGTCATTCTCAAGTCTTCCGTCGCCGAGAACGAGCCCGACTTGCTCATCTCCGGTGCTCCGGCCAAGTTCAAGGGCTACTTCCCCGGCTACGCCTCCGACTCGCTTGCCGATGCACAGCACTGGGCGTGGATCATCCTCAAGGCTCACAGTAGAAACAATGCTGGTACTGTGACTCTGAAGTCGACCGATCCCAGAGACATGCCCCTCATCAACTTCAACTACTATGATACGGGCGTCAACAGCAACGGAGAAGCCGACAAGGATCTTCAGGCTACTTACGAGGGCTTCGAGTTCACCCGAAAGGCCTTTGACAGCCTCATCCCGCTCGACGGAAGCTTCCCCGAAGTCTGGCCTGGTACCAATACCTCCACAGAGGCAGATGCGAAGCAGTTCCTGAAGGACGAAACATGGGGACACCACGCCTCATGCACTTGTCCTATTGGTGCTGATAATGACCCGATGGCTGTTCTCGATACCAACTTCAAGGTTCGCGGTACCGAGGGCCTCAGAGTTGTTGATGCCAGCGTATTCCCCAAGATTCCCGGATTTTACATTGCCTTGCCTCTGTACATTGTGTCTGAAAAGGCCAGCGACGTCATCATCCAGGAAGCCAAGGCGTCATCGGCTTAAGCACTCCAAAGCCATCCGTTGAACTACACTAGTTTGTTGCGTCGGGCGAAACTTCATCCTCGCAGCTTCCAAGGCTGTCGACTCAATCGGTCCAATATTCTAGATTAATAATTCAGAGATACCATCGTTCGTTTCAGAGAAAGAGTTGCAGAGTCATGTTATAACAGTCTGAGAAGTCACATGCAAGGAGCGGTGTTAGAGAAGAAATAACGAAAACCGCACTCGCCAGTCAAATTATCTGTGCCAAAACAAAACAGCCATCGTGAATGAGACCATGACGAGATTTGGATGCTCCGTGACAAATCAACGGTTGCATGGCCCTATGCAAAGGTTTCACTATTTGCCGCATTGTCTTCTCGCTTTTTCGTGTGTTTCGCTGTTCGGTCAATTTCTCAACTCAAATACACTGAGCTAACATTGACTGCCAACAGAGCATATGGCGTGCGTGACCTGCAATAAAAAAACAGAAGCATAGAGATGGAAAACAAAACAGACTGGGAGTTGATTGAAATCATTTTTTCCCGAGTTGCTATGAAGTTCGAACCAAATAATGAACCTATAGTGGCTTTCTAGAACTGTAATCAAGGTAGTTTTACCTATTTTTAGCTGCTCTAACAATGTGAGTCGCTGATAAGGTCAATCCTAGAGTTGGTACATCATCTTGCACGTGACTGCTCACTCACGGTATACTTAATAATAAAAGGCTTAATGACACTTATCACCAGAATGTGCCACACTTTGGAGGATCTTGCTCTCCCACTTGTCACAGTCCGAGTAAATAAGCTGTATACTTTGCTTGATGCCGGGACAAATGAGATGCTGTGCACAGGTATATAATTGCCCCAAGCTAAGTGAACTTCGATTTAATGTATGAACCATCTCTGGAGATTGGAAGAGAAAGACACGTGTCTCGACGGAGGAACTTCGGTAATCACAGTGACTTGCTACATTATTGTCCAGTACTCAAAGAAGGATAAATACCGGCTTTGCTGGTGCTCTTCAAACGCAACAAAAGGACAGGCCAAGAAGCTTCAGGCGCGTAGTCATATATTACTTAAATATAAGACTAGGGCTTGTTATATAAGTATCTGTACCGATTACCAGTACTACGGCCTCTCTCAGTCTTTTGTACTATGACACAGGTTTAAACTTGCAGAGAGTAATGCTTCAATTAATTTTCTCTTCTTTAGCAGCCTGACCGAGGGAGTAGCTTCTGAAACCCCGACTCAATGTTCTCAATAATTGTCATTCTCATAAACTTTGTGCTTGTGGTTGACCCTACACCTGATCTCATGGATGAGGAGACTAGACCTGATACATGGAGCTTACATCTATCGATCCGGGCGTGAGTGTTCACATGATTGGCACGATGACCCTCCAGCCACTCCGCTACTCACACGACCATGACCTTACTCAAGGGGGAATAGAATGGGATTATGGCAGCGGTCCACGCCGTCGTAAGGAGAGCCGCAGACGATCGACGTCAGTGGTTGTCTGCAAGCAGGGTCCATGGACCTGGATTCCCTCATCTTGCAGATGTCCCATGGCGACAATTAGTCAGGAACAGCTCAACAGACTGAGCCTCAGCGGGGCACTTGCACCTCGCATCACACGACAACACATCTGCCCTCATCGTATAGAATTGTGGACGTTTCCAAAGATAAACATGCGGCTGTTCAGTGGATTCATGATTGCTAAGACGTCTTACCTCGCCCAGTGAAAAAGAGAAAGACTTCTTCAGATCCACCAACGGCTGGTAATTAAACTCGGCCAACAGGAATCTTGAACTGCTTTGATTGTAGGATAGACCTTTCGATGTCCGAGTTCTAGGATGCTGGAAAGTAGAAGACCGCGAACGAATGACGATCAAATATGTGCCCACAGCGTGTAAGTGCACGTTATTAAAGAAGCGTGGTAGCTAGAGATCGGATAGAGTCGACAGGTCGGCAGGCAAAAGATAGGAGCTCAAGAAAAAGAAAATCCAGGCGTATCAGTTGCCTTTTCATTTCAATCGTGCAAGCAAGGAACCATTCACTTTTACTCCCCACTTCATACTCGCGATGTCGGAACCCGGGAACAGCGCTTGTACCGAGGTTGACCTCGGCTATGGAATGAACGCCAAAAAAGACCTCGATGGCTCTGTATAAACCCATTGTGTGGTTGTATCTGTACTATGGCATGACACTCACTGCCTTGACCCCGTAACATGAGGTTATGGTTAAAAGCTGCGCGTCCAATTTCCAATCCATGATGAAAAGGGCCGAATAGATCAACGCTTGTGCACTTCGCGCCTCGACCCCAATTTGAAAACAAGAACCCCAAACTCCACAATAACTATCATGGGAACAGCATCGGATTCCGAAGGAGCCTCAATAACAAAAAAAGAGTGGAAAGCTGCGTGACAGGCAAACATCAGTCAAGGTCCCCGCATGGCAGCCCAGGCTCCAGCTGAGGGTTGACAAACCCTGAGAGGCGGTAGAGGTCTAGTTCTCCAATACTTGCATGGCCAACTCCACAAAACTCAACTGTTTCCCCATGGGTGTGGTCTGCTTGGGAGGAGTGGCACGGTGATTTGATGGGGCCTGGATATCCCACAAATTGCTGTATAAAGTAGTCTACTAGTATCCGAATGCCGGTATTCTCCCCGGGTGTGGAATTATCATGACGGAGGCGCCGCTCACGAGACCTCCCGCACCGGGACACTGGGACTGTCGGGAGGGCACGCAGAATTTTTACCATGTTCGGCATCCTGAACGGCTTCTCTCCCATGGATGAAGACGAACTCGTGGCGTCAAAACCGGACCCCGCGCTAATCGGCCGATTAACCTGCTCAATAACCGTTGTTTTACCGGCGGCAGGCTGTTCAAATTCTCTATGACATGTTCCACGGGCCACAAGGCTCGGTTTTCAGTGTAAATCATGACCCGAGGGCGAAGAACAGGGCCGATTAGATGTGCGGGGAAACTGGAGACAGAGTATTGTTTCTCTCCGATTTGGGTCGACCGGTTCCACGGCCTTGGCCCTCATCGTCCCCTCAATTATGTGTGATCATAAAGAGATTCCCCTAAAGAGCTACTCCAACCGCCATCACGAAGAAATTTCAAAGGAAAAAACCTGCGTCTCTGGACCTCTAGTGTCGGCGCAATGTCGGACCTCCACACAAACTCGTGTGTCCCAGTGGTCCACTCATCTTGACGGCGGGGGCGGGGTGGCTGGGATCAAGCCGGGGGCGGTTCTTCTGCCTCTTGGAAAGCTGGTACGGAGTAAGCCTTGGGTGAGTTGAGTGAGTGTCCGAACCGGGGGATCGCTCAGAAAACAAAAGCTTGGAGTCTCCAGGTTTTCCAGCTGTCACCCGATCCGCATCCCCCACATATTGGCTCGTGTTCCCTGTCCCGCCCACAGCGGCAGTTCTCCGGAAGTTAACTTTGAATGCTACGGCGGAAACACCGACAGTCAGGCGCGCCATGTGTAATTATTACTCGATTCTACTCTGTAGACTTCGCCCGTCGGTAAAGCGACCCCATGTTGACAGCCAGCAGTCGGCCTGATGCGGAGTTATCGCAGGTAGTTCTGGAAGCCGGGCGGTGAAGAGAGCTAAGACCTGTTGAAAGAGTCGATGGCTTTAGAGGCCCAATGACTCGATCTCTCCGCTTAACAGCTGTTCCAGCGATTCGATGACTAGTCATACCCGCCGTTAATGAGAGTTACACCCCACAACCCATATGACGATGTGTGGCCACCTCTAATCAGACTGTGGACTCGGCAAGATTCCGCCTCCCCACGTGTATAGCAGAGCCTTTTCCGGTCCTCGCCGTCGGTTTGGCAACCATCTAGAGACTAGACCTAGTATAGCCATCGCGTACGTTTCTGGGAAATCTACGGCTGATTACCCTGCCCAATATCCCACACTTCGCGCCTTGGTGAGCATCTTTCGGGTGTCAACCGGTGCGGGGCCGACTTCCGGACCATGACGATGTGCATTGCCAATGGGAGCTCGATCATGATCAGGTCTTCCCCGACTTTCTCATTGCCCGCGCGGAGGTTACGGGGAGAGAGGAGGGGTCTATCCAGGTCACCAGCTAGCAGAGTGCGAGGGCGACGAGGATATGGTGGACTGACGTTGCTGCCGACGATGAACAGGTAACATATAAAGGACGGCATGTAACCCCCAATCGATGAGCTTCTTTGGATCTTCAGCACAAGCCGCCAGTCAACAGCTCAAGGATCTCACAATGTCCGCAACTTTGTCTTTCTTCCTATCCAGCCTTCTGTTGGCACCGTCGGTCAGCGCTCAGGCGTATGACTCTGGTGACCGATCTGAAGATGCCTTCAGCTGGATTCAGCCAGCGAACACCACCATCCTCGGTCCTTACGGGGACTCTGAGCCCGTCTACCCTTCTCGTGAGTTTCTCCTGTCAGATGACTTGAGATTCAAAAATATCTAACTCATTGTGAAGCCAACATCACTGGCACCGGTTGGGAGGATGCCCTTGCTAAGGCAAGGGAGTTCGTCTCTCAACTGACCGTTGAAGAGAAGGCCGATATGGTCACCGGTCAACCCGGTCCTTGCGTCGGAAACATCGTCGCTATCCCTCGTCTCGGCTTCCAGGGTCTCTGCCTCCAGGATGGCCCCCTGTCCATCCGTGTTGCCGACTACGCCAGTGTCTTCTCCGCAGGTGTCTCTGCTGCAGCCACCTGGGACAGGGATATCCTCTACGAGAGAGGTCTTGCCATGGGCAAGGAGTTCAAGGCCAAGGGTGCCCACATTGCCCTCAGGTTCGTTCATATCTCCCCATTGTGCCTAAGCTCTACTAACCTCCTCATAGCCCCGTTGCCGGACCCCTCGGCCGCAGTGCCTACTCTGGCAGAAACTGGGAAGGCTTCAGTCCCGACCCGTACCTGACTGGTGTCGCCATGGAGGAGACCATTACCGGTCACCAGGATGCTGGTGTCCAGGCTACTGCTAAGCACTGGATTCTCAATGAGCAGGAGACCATGCGCAACCCGACCTTCGACCCCAATGGCACTTCCACAGACATCGAGGACCAGGCTCTTTCCTCAAATGTCGATGACAGAACCGCCCACGAGCTCTACATCTGGCCCTTTGCCAACGCCGTCAAGGCTAAGGCTTCCTCCTTCATGTGCTCTTACCAGCGCATCAACGGCTCTTACGGTTGCCAGAACTCCAAGTCCCTGAACGGTCTCCTGAAGACTGAGCTCGGATTTGACGGTTACGTTATGTCCGACTGGGGTGCCACACACACCGGTGTCGCTGCTATTGAGGCCGGTCTTGATATGGACATGCCCGGTGGACTCGGCAAGTACGGCATGGATTGGCCCTCAGGATCTTTCTTCGGTGGCAACGTCACCCTCGCAGTCAACAACGGCACCCTTAACGTCGCCCGCGTCGATGACATGATTGTTCGCATCATGACCCCTTACTACTGGCTCAACCAGGACAAGGAGTACCCTACTGTTGATCCCTCCACCGGCGACCTCAACACCTTCTCCCCCAGATCCACCTGGGTTCGCGAGTTCAACCTGACTGGCGAGAGCAGTCGTGATGTTCGCGAGGACCACGGTGAGCTGATCCGCAAGCATGGCTCCGCCGCCACTGTACTCCTCAAGAATGAGAACAAGGCCCTTCCCCTCAAGGCTCCCAAGTCTATTGCCGTCTTTGGTAACGATGCTGGCGAAGATACCCAGGGATTCTACAACCAGGCTGACTTCGAGTACGGCACCCTTGTCGCTGGTGGTGGCTCCGGTACCGGTCGTCTCACCTACCTCGTCACCCCCCTTGAGGCCATCAAGGCTCGTGCCTCCAAGGATGGTGCTCTTGTCCAGCAGTGGCTCAACAACACCCTCATCATCAACTCCAACATCACCGACCTCTGGGTCCCCAAGACCCCCGATGTCTGCCTTGTCTTCCTCAAGACCTGGGCTGAGGAGGCCGCTGATCGCCAGCATTTGAGCGTCGACTGGAACGGTGACGATGTCGTCGAGAACGTCGCCAAGAACTGCAACAACACTATTGTCATCACCCACTCCTCCGGCATCAACGACCTCCCCTGGGCCGACCACCCCAACGTCACCGCCATCCTCGCCGCCCACTTCCCCGGCCAGGAGTCCGGCAACTCCCTCGTCGACGTCCTCTACGGCGACGTCAACCCCTCCGCCAGGCTCCCCTACACCATCGCCCTGAACGGCACCGACTACAACGCCCCTCCCACCACCGGCATCAACACCACCGGCTGGTACGACTGGCAGAGCTGGTTCGACGAGAAGCTCGAGATCGACTACCGCTACTTCGACGCCCACAACATCTCTGTTCGCTACGAGTTCGGCTTCGGTCTTAGCTACACCACCTTTGAGGTTGCCGACTTCGAGGCCAGCCCCGTCGAGCAGGACATCACCTCCGCCCCTGAGCAGCGCCCCGTCGAGCCCGGTGGAAACCCCGCCCTCTGGGAGACCATCTACAACGCCACCGTTTCCATTACCAACTCTGGCGATGTCGAGGGTGCCGCCGTTCCCCAGCTCTACGTCACCTTCCCCGACTCTACCCCCGCTGGCACTCCTCCCAAGCAGCTTCGCGGTTTCGAGAAGGTTCCCCTGGCCGTCGGCGAGACCAAGAAGGTCGGTTTCGAGCTGATGCGTCGCGATCTCAGCTACTGGGACGTTGTCTCTCAGCAGTGGCTCATTCCCGAGGGCGAGTTCACCCTCAGCCTCGGCTGGAGCAGCAGAGACTTGAAGGCTACCGCCCAGATCACCCCTGTGCAGGCGTAAGTCTGATTAATTGGCAGATATTTTAGTGGAGGAATGATACGATGGACGAATTATGACTCTGGATAATATTAGTAATGTCTGGATAACAGTAATATAAATCTTTTTCACGTTCAAATAATTTTGGCTGTCGATAGTGAATATCCCATGCGCGTAGCTCCAAACACTTGAACATCTTGGAATGCATGGTTATCAAGTCAAGTAGCCAGTCGTGCCGGGACATGCTCTACTTCGTTTAGGTCAACATTGGTCCTATTGGCCAACGTGTGCTGGAGAGTATCTTTGCAGTCAAGAACTCGTGCACGCCTATTGAAGATATGCCTCGTTTTTCGTGGCTAATGTCTACATGTCTGTTACAGCCTGCTGTGCGGGGACGTGGAGATAAGGCCCAGGACGTGCGAGACTGGCCGGACCTACAGCCTACCTCGTCTTTAAAAGTCTTTCTTGCCATAAGGTAGGCATGCATAGCAAAGGGGCCTCACTGATTTTCGCGGCTGAGACGCGAAGCTACGGGACACTCTCAGCTGAACAGCCTAGCGGGACTAGAGTGAGACAAGGTCCAATCCAATGTGCCGCTAATGTGTACAACTGGTCCTTGGGCGCGTTGGCTCAAAGGCAGGAAAGCCTGAAGAAGATGCAGCCGACAATTTTTCCCATTCTTCAAGCAGTCGTCTTGAAGTCATGCCCGCATCTCTCACCCTCGACTGTTGATACCCCTAGGAAATTCGGAACGAGCTGTCTGTTAGCTCTCTGTCTTCTTCAACTGGCCGCTACTGTTCCAAATCCAAAGGATGACCTAGTAATCGAAATGGCATCAAATGTCGATGGAAATGAAAGCGCGGGCAACGAGAACACCACCGTCCATGAAGGACCACTGAGTACAGATGAGCATGATGGCCATGCTGATGACGGCATAGTCCCGATCAGCGCCTTACATGTGCAAGCTTCACTCAGAAAGCGAGCGCCAACAGGACCGATCCCAGAAAGAACTTGGAATTTCTACCTGAATGCCTTCACCGGGCTCCTGACGTACGAGAATATCCTTGATCAACGAAATCAGTGCATACGATCTCGACGAGGGCACTCAATGTCACGATTCGAAGTGCACGACTCAGTAGCCCCCATGTCTGCTCAGACCAGAGGCGGAGGCAGCTACCCGTATCCAGCCGAATATCGAAGGCTGGTGAAGTTGGACGGAAGGCGCGATATTGAGACCGGTGGCCGTAACCCATTAGCCCAACAACTACCCAAAGGATTTGCAACTGTGGTGACGAAAAAGAAAGCTACAGTCAAAAATCGCCTGTTTGGTATATCTCGAACATCTGTCAGAGTCTCAGTAGCTTGACGCCTACCGGTCTATGTGGTTTTAGGCATTTTCCCCCGCGGCCAACCCAACCCAGTCGAAAGAGTAATGTTTTGTCATCAGCCTAAACAATTATTTCGACAGTTTGGTCGGGAAATCTTCCGTCTACGCGGTTTCTGGAAGACACTGTTTTCTCTCAGACACGTAAAAGGATTCCAGCTATACAAAGTAAGCCTCCCAAGCGCCAAAAGCCTTTGCTGGATGACATTCAATTGTGCAGCGGAGAGTATGTCACTGACCTTTTCTGCAGTGCAATGCGCAGAACGGGACTCACGAACGTATCGATCTTGACAAAAACGGCGCTGCAGATTTGCAATTGCTCCTGCATACGTACAAGCAATGGCGAGTCCCCGAGCACATCGCACTTGCCTGGGCAGACTGGATTCACCAAGAATTCAACAACGACTCACATGACGTACTCATTGGAAAGTACTCACTTGAACTTGTATTGGGCTGGTCTATCACTAGGATTGTCGTCGTGATTCTCACACCTGTGGTGCTAAGCCTGGTTATCGGACTCTGGTTCAACTCGAAGGACTGGATGGATCTAACCACAATCCAGACCGCTTGGTCTACCGCATCCTATATTGTGACGGCAGGAGGCTGTAAGTGTTTTCTGATCCTCTTGTTGTGTGAGCTTCGAAAGGAACGCCCTAACGGCCTTTAGTCATTGCCGCTCTTCTTGGTATTATGAGCAGTCTCGCGGATAACTAGGTTTTGGACGCAAAGAGCGTTAATGACATGGCCGATTTTCTCTAGGAGATGGTCAAATTTGACTTACATGACTTGGGTACAATGTTCCTGCTGCATCTGGTGTGCTTTGACTATGCTGTAGTCATAGTGTGACGTTTTGTGAGGTGGTCGACATAGTTTAATGGTATCATGTGGAAGGCTCAGAAAGGTGGCCAACTTGTCTGTTACCGATATCAGTAGTATCGCTTTTCCTCAATACCTCGGATAAGGAGTGACTCAGTGAGTTACGTTTATCAGAAGCTTGCTAGACCCTCCTAAAATCAAGATTGTCGCTTCCGTTGCCTGTGTAATGTGATTGAGTGCCCTCAAGTCATCTTACACGTGATGCCATTGAAGAGCCGAATATCAACGGGGAGCCCCGAATTGATTTCACCCATCCCGTCCATGTATTCTCGGCCTGACAAGTAATACGACAGCTTGAAAACAGCTCGCCAGTAAGCTAGTGCTCGAGGTAGATCCACGTCTTTTCTGCATGGAACTCTGGGCGGTGAACATTTGGATATGTTGTGGGGCGCAGCTAGTCCAAACGAGACTGTGGCGTCGAACTTGGAAGCTGAAGCTTATCACCATAACATGCCCATATCTAATGAGATGCCGCGGACTTTTCAGCTCTCCACAATTTAGGTTAAGGACGTGTTCGATGTTTGTAACATGGGCCTAATTCGACTGAAGAGGGAAGTGCTGTGGCAGTGCGGCCAGCCCGAGACAAGCTGCGTTTGTCAGTTCAACCCTCGGCTTAGCTACAAGGCAACTAGAGTTCAGCTTCCCGTAATCTTGAACCAGGATTCGACTTAGTTTAAAAGAACTATCTACAGCAAATGTCCCCGACTGGATTCCTATTTTGGAATTCGTCCCGCAGTTTCGGGTAACCCGGCCTGCCTCACGGAAACTCTCCAATGGTATCCTGCCAGGATCCAGTTCCTAATGTTGCGAGGCGCGCAGAGACAGCAATATCAGACGATGTCGTCACATCCACATTTTTGGACTTTCCGGCCGAAGTAAACTGCTATCTTCGGTGCGGACTTCCCCACGCCTTTGATAGTCAGGCGACTGATTGAAATAGCAGGCCCATTTCCACCTCCCAGTCGTCATCCCCAGCACTGACAGACCGGATTCTCATCGACATTTTGGTTTAGAAGGAGATAAGTGTCATATATTCGACACCATGAAAGTTGTCGAAAATAGCGTCTTGGGTGAGAAGCCTTCGGGCGCTCCTGTACCAGAATTTTACACATCTGCAACGAAGCGCAGAACTTTGGTAAGAGAACACTTCTGCTTGGACGCTGCGCAAAGCTCCCATCAGCATCGTATTGATCCTTCTCAGGCACAAGCCGCATCCTTTCATCTCAAAACACTCTACTTATTCACCAGAAGCGACGTCAAGACTGTCCTAGCGCCTCAAATCATCTTCATCCTAGCAGCCGTGTTTAGTCGCGAACCTCTCACGACAGCGTTCGATCGAATAAACTGCCCAATTTTCCAAAGGCTACCTCTGGCAATTCTGTGGATATGGCTCAACCTGATCGTGTGCGGTATTTCGAACCAGCGACTCGCGGACTCCATCGTCGAAGACGAGCACAACAAGCCCTGGAGGCCACTCGCTGCGAAGCGACTAACCCCCCCACAAGCCCAGCGACTTCTCCTCGGGATGATACCACTCGTTGTAGCTGTGAGCGCAGTGCTGGGTGGCTTCAAGCCGACGATATCCATGATGACGCTTCTGTGGATGTACAACGATCTTGACGGAAGTAGCATCAACATCTGGGCTCGCAATGCGATCAACACAGGCGGTATCATGTGCTTCAGCGCTGGAGCTTTAGAGGTTCTTTCTGGTGGAGATCTTCTTCCGAAGGCATGGGCCTGGATTGGGGTCACCGGCGCCGTCATTGCCACAACAGTCCAAGCGCTGGATTTCCCAGACATGGAAGGAGATAAGGCTAGGGGCCGCAAGACCATCCCGCTGTTATATGGTGAAGGAGTCGCTCGTGGCGGGCTGGCCGTGTTGGTTCTGCTGTGGTCTACTGCGTGCCCGTTATTTTGGAACCTTCCACCAGCGGTTTGGGCGGCTCCTCTGGGAGTAGGAGTCTTGATGGCTGGATTGACAGTCGTAAGGCAGGACGAGAAGTCCGACGATGTTGTGGCGAAGCTTTGGTGTTTGTGGTTGGCTGTCTTGTACCTCTTACCTCTTTTCGCAGCGTAGGAAACATGTCCTCAGCATAGAATAAGAACAGAAACAAGTGTGTCCAAGAAAGTCTAGTGTGACCTCAAGCCCCGAAGACAGGGAAGGATAGTCATCCCTACCAGGCGGGATGAGCTTGAGAGAAGTGAGAAAGGTGAAGTTGTTTATTGGCATAGTTGGTTATGTGATGTGAACTTGTTCTTGAAAGACTCGGTGTCTTTTTGTGAATATTATTCCCAAACTTGACTGGGCGAGGTGGCGTCCACCCAAGATCCCGTATCCGTCAACTTTCCCACATCTCTTTGGCTTCCATTCTCAATGTAACTAAGCCTTTTCTGTCTCCTCCATAGACTCAATGCCAGGAACACGCCAGTCGCAGCCGCAGGTGCAGCCCCAGGAGGCATTCTCGCAGTCGGTGTGGCGCTGATCGTAGCGAAGCTTGCCAGAGCTGTCGCAGCGGTAGTTGTAAGGGCGGTACTCGCACCAGAGCTTAGTGAAGGGGCAGACGATTTCGCACTCGCGGGCTCTGAGGACAGCGGCATTATTCTCAGTGTTGATAGTGTCGACTCCATCTCTATTGTTGAGGTCCAAGCGGTTCTTCTGGGGGTTCATGCTAGGACTGGCGGCGACGCTGATAGCGAAGCCGGCAGCGCTAGTGAGGAGAGCTGTGGGTTTACTGTCAGACCTTCTTTTTTTTTCTCGATGAATCCATAATTGGAATTAAGTAAAATCACCTTGGAATCTCATTTTAGAGATTCTGATATCTGAAGTTTGGTTGTGCTTGTCGGTGTGAGAAGTGGACGGAGGTTATCAAGGCGATGGGAGGTGACTCTGGTGAGGTGTCGAAGGAAGTTATGGGAGTCTTGAGATATTGGTTCAATATTTGAATACTAAATGAGTATTCCGTGAAGGCGTTTGAATCCTCCAAACCGTCCAGGATTTTCCACTGACCGCCCTCACTGCCTGTTAAGTCAGGCTATTTGAGTAGCGAGGGAAGGAGCAAACCATGGCAACCAAGCCTAGCTGCCTTTGTTCTTTCCTTGGATGAACTCACTTTGAAGGTCTTAATCGCGGTATCATCATTGAGTTACAAATGTAATGAGGAGGCTGCCCAGTTACCGTACTTTGTTTGCAAGCAGATTGATTGTGGAACATGAAGTAGCCCCTTACTATCAATTATCAGCGCACACTGAGAGTTGAGACTCAGCGCGTCTAAGACTACAACCTAGGAATGGAAAGGCAGAAAGAATGCTTCTGGCAATCTCAAATTGTATGCGTATTTGGCGGTTGACTGCTTAGAGACTACTATAATCTGGACATGTCGAGATTCGAGGGGAATACCGCACCTACGATGCTTGACTGACGGAAGGCAAGATGATGAGCTAATCTCGCCCCAGATAGATCCTAGCACTTTCTCTTTGTCTACGTCAGTTGCAGATTGACAGTGCAAAGTGTTTGTCAGGCAAGTTCCGAGCAACATTAGACAAACACTACCCGTGGTATACAAACGGTGACACAGTTGCACAAGGGGCACAGTACCCCCGGATGCCCTTGGGATCTCTTGTCCAGCCAGCCTCCATGGCTCAAGGAGTTGCAAGGTCAAATACTAGAAGACCCCAATCTGCTCAAAAACTTGGAAAAAGAATAATAACTGAAGAGATATTGTTCGTATTTTAATTCCTAAAGTTATGTCCAGTTCAATGCTAGATACTTTTTGCGCCTTATATAATGTTACAGGGGCCAGAAGCAAATACACGCTATGTCCACTCTAATGCTCCGATAGACCTGTGTTACCCAAAAGCAAACCCTCAACGCCTCTCACCTCCAGACTTTTGTCTCTCAGCCTGGCCAAGCCATGCAGTTTGCTCGTCCAACCGGCTGTAATGCGCATCAATCACCTCCTGATTCAAGTAATTCAACCTGTGACCACACCTTGTCCACTTGACGTCATGGGCCGTCGCCGAATCATCGCAGCATCCTCCCCAGCAATCTCCAATTCGGTCAATTACCGACTGGAATTTGGCCTTCTCGCTCCTCCGGCTCCGGTCAATGATATTGAGCATCGTCGGGATAGCGACCTCGTGGAACAGGTCTGCGCAACCATACACGGATGACAGGAAAATAAAGTCGGCAAAGAATCGTCGGGGAATGTAGAAAATATCCGACCAGCCCACGCAGAACTCATCCTCCTCGATCGTGTAGCCGCGGTTCATCCGGATAATCTCGCCGTTGACGGTGACAGCCTTCTCGTTCCACTTATGATACCATCCCCACCACTGGGGGAACTTCTGCCAGTCGGTCATACACATGTACCGCGGGCCGTCGCCCTCGAATTGCCGCGTGTTGTGAGATGTCGGGAACCAAATGGACTCGCGGTTCTCGTCGACCCAAGCCATCGGGTCGATCCAGGAGTCGAAGTGGAAGTACATGAGGCCTTCGATGTCCGGTTGCTCGTCGAGAATGAGCTTCATCGTCCTGGCGACTTGCATATAGATCGTCTCGTGATGCGCGTATTGAGAGTGTGTCAGGTTGTGCCAGTCTTCGGGCTTATCCTCGATCATCTCTGGCATGGAGATGTGGACAGTGTGGTAGAAGGGCTTGTACTTCATAAGGAGGGGTACGCGCTCCATGCGCTTCGCGTTCCAGCGAATCATGGCGAGTGTGTTGCTAAAAGGTGAGGCGGTGAGGTTGCCGGGTCCTGTGGAGATCTTGTACGGCTCTTGCTTATCCGTGAACGGCGTGATGATTTCCGCCGGTGGTGTCGAGCAGTGTCCGTCGGTGTCGTCCCTCATGACGAGTCGGTATTCGGGGGTATGCGGGAGTTCGGAGAGGGTTGCGTAGGGGATAATGCCTGCACCAAGAAAGCTGGCAAGTGTAAGAAGGCCGAACTTAGCTTTCTGTAGGAGTGTTAGTTTGCCCTCATCAATGTACTCTATCAAGACAACTGACCTTGTAGGAGGGAGGCGGCGCAAAAGTGTTCGGGGAGTCATCCACTGGAGACGAGCTGATGTACTCTTTCAACGGGGCATACTTCATGTATGCAAGTGAAGCGATGAAGATGAGCGCTGTGCCGGGTATAAGAAACATGCTGTATCGCGACAGGAAGAAGTGCGCGGACACAAGCATCAACACGACGCTAGTGATGTCGTTGATGAACCATCTCACCCACGAGTCGACCTCTGTAATACGTCAGCAATCTTCTCAACAGTCCATTTTGTCCAAAAACCTACTCTTGTGTGCTGCAGTACTAGCCAAGGCCGTCAAAGTGGTCAAAAAGACCACGGACAAGCCCTTGCTGTCGTAGCCGCCGAAGAAAGTAGGTTCGAAGGAGCTGTATAGTCGCACAAGCGCGTGCACGAACAAGTTGAGGATAGCACCGAAAGCTCCCAGCACAATGCTTGCGCCGTTCGGGCTGAGGTCGGTACCCTTCAAAAGCTTTTCGCTGTGAATGTCGGACAAGGCACTGAAGCTAGCTTGGCCGACGATGCTGACGTAGAGGGGAAGCTGGTATGTCGACGCCCTCGTGCGATGTTGCGGATAGAATTGGGAGAGTACCAGGCCTGACGTCTACTCCCGTTTAGCGACACAGCGGTAGATCAAATGTTTCGCAATTATCCTACCTGAATCAAGAAAGCCATCCATCGAGTCTTTGGGCCCCTAAGTCCAAGGGCGGGCGTCGTGACAAGAGCAGCTGCGACCGCGATACCGCTCTTCGTGATGGAGACAGTGCCTGGGTCGGTGACCAAGTAGTTGAGAAACAGCTTGAAGAAAAAGTTAGCTTTTGCCTCATCCAATGTTGCACCGGCGCCAAGTGCCAAGCGCTCTGACGTCCCATACCAAGTTGTTACTGAGCATTTGCAGTAAAGCAATCCTCATCAGTCCGAACCTCAAGTCTGTGTCTCCCCAGACATAACGCCAGAGTGCCCTCGCACCCCCCATGCGTGGAGCTTGTCGCGATAGCTTCTCCGCGGCGTACTCGCCAGATGACCGTCCTTCCTCGTCACCGCCAAGATCCAAATCCTCCGACCCGTTGCCCAGCGATGAGTATTCGGCACTGGCATTTCGTCTGCGAACCTCGCGTTTCAATAACAGTGTCGCAATCAAGAACCTCAAAAACTCGGATATCGTTAAGCTCGAAGACGGCGAAAAGTTGAACTGCCCTCGCTCGCGGGAGTTCCAGATATTGACTGCTGCGCCGACCTGTAGGAGCACCAGCCCGAGCGCGGCGAGACACGGGACCAGCTCGGCGCCACCGGACCCGGCTACCGCCAGCACTCGGCGGAAGATGGACCGGTTTACGGCCATGGCGAGAGAAGAAAGAAAAGGAGTGTAATGCGGCGACGGCGCGAGTTTTCTCGATCGCTCTCCGTTGTGTTTTCTACCAGTTTTGACGAGAAGTCATGATTTCGCAACCACCGCGAGTCGAAAAGAAGAGGACAGAACGCTTGGCCCTTTTTTTCCTCGCTGAGAAAATACGAGTCGTGGCGGGGGCGATCAGCGTCGCAAAAAAAGGTCCCCTCGGCCTCCAGATAATCGCAGGGCGGTTCGCACGGAATCAGCTGGGGGCCAGGTTAAAACCGGGGACTTGACAGGGGACGAGAATCGAAATCGAGCTTGAATTCCCCAATCTGACCACGCCGCGGACGCGCCGGTACGAGATCGTCAGCGTTCAGTTTTCGGTTGCGTGGAGCGAGGACGGATGTGGACGGCTCTCGAAAAAGGGGGTTCGTCAGTCAGCGCGGGCGGCTTCGATGTCGTGAACAGCCTCATTCAAAAAGAAGACGCTGGCGAGATGGGAGGGACAATGATTTTGTTCGGCCTCGAGCTCAATACTCGAAGCTTAATTTGCTACTACTAGAAAGTATTTTAAGGATCTGAGGCAAAGCCAGGGGAAAGAAAGCATCCCCTAACATCACAGTTACAATTCTGGCAGCGAATTAATTAGCATGGCTGTCGCCTGTTTGCATGATCCCCGTCACTCTAGGTGTTGGACTGAACGCCAAGTGGACCGATGCTATGGGAAGTAAGTTGGGATCATTTGGAAGTATCCGTTTGTTAAACCTTCCAGTGTGGGCGCCCGGCAGTGCTTGATTGCAGCTTTGCCCGATCAGTTAGGTGATCACGAAAGAGGAGATTCGACCGCAGTACATAAAGTAAGGCGCAGCGCCAGACTTACAGGAGCCTGAAGGTCGACTTCGCGGTTAAAGAGCAGAGGTTCTCTGCAGAGTCTCTCAAAGCCAAAGTTGGCGCGCCGCGCGTCCTGTAACATGCTCTCCTTAACAAAGGCCAGCCATGCGGAGTAAACTTCAAGTTGACAACCACACACACACACTAGGGAACCATCCGAGGCTACAGATACCTGTCTCTTAACACCAGTCTTGCCTTATGAGCGTGTGAGAGAGATGGGGCACCAAAGAACTAGCTTTTAACATGAGTCGCAACGGCTGTCACGGAACTGCGCATCTTCAAGGACACAGCCTGCGCCAGAAAAGTGAGACCGGCTATCGAAATATGGCCTGGCCGTGAGGGGCCACTCTCTTATTGGACCGTCTTATCACTCGGCGCCAGGATTGAGTTCCCAATTTAGGTCGCTTGGAGGGGCCTCCCGGTTCCCCTTGTCGAGCACGGTTCAGCAATGTCGTAGCCGTGACGGCACGCAACGCTGAGAGGGAATTGCACAGCTGAAAGCACGCTGACAAAGTGCGGATGAAAAGACTGAAAAGCAGGGCGGCTGGTGCTGGTCCGTTCGCCCATCTTCAGTCGTTCGACTGAACTGTGTGGTGCTGACAGCGACACGGAATCAAGCGAGATGCTCAGCTGGGTCAAAACGGGGGAACTCCGCCCGCTTGCCTCGAGATCACGACACATTTGTCCTGCTTTCCACCATGTCTGTAGGTGGTGATTAGGCAGGTTCTAGACCAAGAGGGGGTTGGAAGGAAACAAGAGTTTACATGTGGCAAGCCGAACATTCCAATCAGGGTCCGACTTGAAACATGTGTGCATGTTGACCCCTACTGCCCCCCAAGTTTGCTGCGAATCGGAGGACGCTTCCCACTTCGCCCTGCTTGTAAGGCGCATGGCTAGTGTAAAATCCTGCGAACACTTCCAGGGGCGGGTTCACAAGATCTACCAGATTCGTCAGTGCCAATTGGGGAAGCTGGCAGGCCTGCAGGATCTCTTGTCTTGACTGTGTGACGAAGGAGGACTTTCCGGTGGTGTGGACACGATGCCATTAACTTGAGTTGACATTCTGTCAATTGGCGTTCTTTCCCCGCCTTGCCGTGCACATAGCAACTGGTATCTTGCTCAAAGCCTACTAAGCTCGCATACTACTCACGAATTGTGAACGATACAAGCGCCTAGATCTTCGGCTATGATTTACAGACATCGTAAGGTCAGGTCTGTACCCTTTGTCTTCACCTGGTTTGCAACATGTCTGAAGGCCCCTGGGATCCAACCAAGCTACTGATGGATCGCCGAGGACAGCGGCCCTGCGGTCGAACCCCTCATCTGCCATCCTAGGTCAAGACCGTTGGACTAATAATTTCGACTGACGCGACGTCCTCCGCGCGTCTGACCACGTCACTGGAAGAAACTAGGAGGCATCACATGCGTTAGCTGAGAGACGGCAGCGCTAGAAGCTTTCCGTTCGTCTCACTAGTTCAACCGTCAAACACACCCGGCATAGCTTACAAGTCCGGTAACGGGAACAGACTAGAGTGACGGGTATTCTATTACGATTCGGGGATGCAGCAAAATCGCAGCCAATCTTTCGAGTCCGGCCGCAACGCCCATCCGGCGGGATGCACCGGTATTACGGGCTCGGAGCCATGCTCCGAAGCCCCCACTTCTCACTGAGTGCCAGTTTCGCTTGTTAAGTCATCGCCGGCCTTGAAGTCTTGAACGGCGATCGGGGTTATAATCAGAAAGGCATGGTTTCTTGCCTTGTGATATGCTCGACAAAGGTGGCAAGAGTGGTGCTGTTTTCCTTGCGATTTGCGTTGGAATAGCTTAGTGGACTATACAAAGACATGACTACAGCAAGTTTGAAACTCTCTTAACTCATTCTTTCAATACCCAGGACACGGATACTACCGAGGACCTTTACGCCTTCGTTATCCACAGCCCGTAGCCCTGGAAAAGTGGCTCACGGGACGTGAACGGGCCTTGGTTCCGTTAAGCGGACCGTACCGTCTTCCGAAGCCCCGCTGGACCACTGACTTCCTCTCACTCCGAGACATTACAAGCATACGTGCCTTGCCTGCGAGCTTCAAACAGGGTTTGGTATTTGGGAAGTTGTATCTTTCGTGACTTCTGCCGGTCAAGTCTCGATCTCGGCACACATTGCGAGAGCCTAGATAGCGCTTTGCATCGACCACTGAGACGCAGGCCGTTGGTAAATGGCGCCGGAGAGGTCAGGACATCGTGAGAAATCATCATCCCAAACACCATATTCCACGACTAGAAAATGGTCCGATCATCGCCTCTAAGGTTTGACGAGCGGATATTGAAGACACTGAATGAACCTTGATGAAACCTCAATCTTGGAAGGAAGCATGTGCCTTCGTGCCATACTTCAATGGCAGGCTTGCCAGCTCAATAGCCGCTGTCTCCACCGTTCGCTGAACACGCCTGACTCTACTGTTATGATTCATCTACCTAATCGTCATTAAGGTTGAAGCGGGAAATCCACAAGCAAATATTATGCCCGTCTTGGCCATCTGCTTTACTACGAACTCCAGATTCGGAAGGGCCTAGACGAGGTCCGACGCCTCAAGCTCATGCGGAGGCCAAACCCCCGCCTGATCGCGTAAGTCATCACAAAGAATAACATGTTGTGGTGGGCAAGTTTGGTAAGGCTGCATCGCGCTGTTAAACTTCGACGTCAACACCGAGCTTGAAGCGGTTTGAGATGTTGCCAAGAGGAAAACCTTTCCGTACCGAGGAGGTGAGTGCTCTCATTCGAGATGGCATCTGATGCTCTACACGGATGTCGCATTAGCTGATGCAGATCTGTGTCCGAGCACCATTTGGGTTTTCTCTGTACAGCAAGGTTGTGTGCGTCTCGAATCTTCATGGAAGCAAATGAATGGTCGTTGAATTCGGCCCAATCTCACCAGCGTTGGAGAACAACAGGCTAGAAAGCCTGATTTGTACCGAACTTCGTGTTGACGTCGCGATCATCTTGAACTTCGGTCAACGGGAACAATCGAGGCCGATATAGATGACTTCCTAGCTCGGATGATCTTGGCAAGAGGGGGCTCAGAGGGATTTTGAGGGGACACATTGATACAAGTAAAGGCGAGATGCAGCCTAACGCCACATGCAACGCTTGGAGTATTTCGACGTTTCACAAAGCAACAGCTGCTGTGTGATTTGCTCTCCAAAAACTGACTCACATCTCACTGGCTCGTCCTGAATCATCAGAAGCCCCTACCGAGCTGGAGCTTCGCTTGGTCGCATTGGTCTCGCTGCCCAATGACATGAGCCTCTCACATCCCAACTCTGAATAAGCTCTAGGCAAAATACATAGTGTTTCCCGCCATCGGCTCGTCCCCCGAGTCTTCCAACCTTGTGCTGTGGTCTGGAACAATGTTTGGATCGACCCATTCCAGCACTGTCACCGAGGACCGCCCGAGGATCATCTGATATGTGCCTCCCCAACTGGCCATCTCCGACAACGATGTCCCCGTTTGCCACGATGAAGGTGTCCTTGAGAAGGCGGAAAAGCAACGACTACCGCCTCAGCTCGGGAAGGAAATGCTCATAGCCCGCCACCATGCGCCTCAAGATGAACTTTAAACGAAGAGGTTCGCTCGTGAAGGGGCAAGGCGTGCCTCCGGCTTTTGCTTCCTGTTTTGGGCAGAAGAAAGTCCGTCTGCTCAGTGTGTTCCGATATTTAGAACGAATGCACCCGCAAACACTTACCAACCACTCCCACCACGTCATGGCTCGAGTCATATCCGTTGAAGTATTCCAAAGAGTTTGCATCGCAGTAAACGGCCTAGGTATGTGTACATTGCATCGCATTTACGCTAGCATTACACACCTCACTGAGACCTATCCAATCTCACCACGACTTCTCCATCCCTAAATCGTCAAAGGCTGAGCTAGTGACGATTAATGTCTAACCATCCCTTTACAGCGGCACTTGCGCCGATCAGCCAATAAAGGGTCCCGTCGACTTGCCTCTAGGCCCTGGTCTCTCTTGGGCAGAATTCTCTTCATACCCCCCGACGACCTTCCAAACTCGGCTTGCTCGAGTTCGGGGCCGTGAAGCTTCTCATCCAAATGCGGCTGCGATGGCTTCCATTGAGAGCAATGGTCCTCTGATAGCAGGAATCACATGGTTCCTCTGCTTCTTCTGCGGTGCCTTCTTGGCACTACGAGTGTACGCGAAGTTGAGTCGGGGACAAAAGCTGTGGTGGGATGACTACATCTTCCTATTCTCATGGGTACGTAATTGAACGAAACCCTGAGCGGGGCACCTTGTATATCTGGCAACTCAACTGACAGTAAGTCATAGACTTGTCTCTTTGTCGAGTCGATCATCACCCAGATGGGCGTCAACTTAGGTTTCGGCCGTCACTATTACGACATCACTCCACAGACCAATCTCTTGACGATAGCCATGTACACTTCAGTAGGCGCATCAATATCGTGTTTTGCTTCAACTGGGAGCAAAGTTGGGTTTGGTGTGACTCTCCTTCGGCTCACGACCGGCTGGTTCAGGGTTTTCGTCTGGTTCGCCGTTGTGACCTTGACAGTGGTCATGCTTCCCAGCGCAACCTTGACATGGCTGAAGTGTACCCCTGTGCAGAAGAATTTCAACAGGCAAATGGAGGGAACCTGCTGGGACGAGTCGGTGACACTTAACTACGGCATCTTCAACGCAGCCTGGTGCGCTTTAATGGACTTTGTGCTGGCGATAATCCCATGGAAGCTCATATGGGGGATGCGGTTGAGGAAACACGAAAAGCTCGGCATTTGCTTTGCTATGAGCCTGGGTTGGTTGTACGTTGAAGTCACCATGCTGCTGTGCTGCCTGATGCTGACTTTTATCCAAAGGGCAGGCGTGTGTGCCATCATCAAGGGCATCTACCTCGTTCAGCTGGAGCAAGGTGACTTCTTTTGTGAGTTGATCAGCTGCCGTTGAACATGGAGTACCTTTTGTCAAGTTGCTAACATTTTCCTCTAAGTCAATGGAAAAGATGTCACCATCTGGACCGCTGTGGAAACGGCCACTGCAATAGTGGGGTCATCCATCCCAGTCTTACGAGTTTTCATCAAAGAAAAGGCATCTACCCTAGGCTACGATAACAAGGTCAACCACGATAATAGCAACGAAAACTCGAATAACATCGAACTCAACTCGTACCGGAGCGTAGTTACCTCTACAACTGAAACTGGGAAAAGTACTCTAATGACGGCAGATGAGACCAATCTGAATTGCCCACGAAACCTCACACGGAGCGGAAGTTGTCTCTTGGTGGACATACCGGACTTTAAACTTGAGGGAATTGTGCGAGTCCGGAGCACGGATGAAGAAAGCCAAGGCGGACCAGACGATGATCAGATTTACAGCCATGATGATCGGATTAACGATAACGGTCATAGCCAGGAACAGATAAGGTAAGTTGGTCCAAGATGACGTTGATTCTTGGTCTAATTTTCCGCAGAGACGAGCATGAATTTTATGGAAGAGCGCTATGATTGCCTCATCGAGGAGGGGCGGCAAAAGCGTTGCGCCGAAACCGACAGTCACGCGAATGAAGCAAGTACTGACTCTGTTGTATTGATGTCTTTGATCTTAATGATACCTGGAGGGTCTCACCTCCGCTACAAAGTAATGATAGTAATGAGAATCATGAAGCAATATTACCAAGTAATGACATTTCTGTTCTGCTCAGGCTCGACAACATGAGCCCATCGGCCACAGCGGTAAAGGAGATGCCAATCAAGGATTGCAGAATACTTTATGTGATATCATCCTCAAATGTCTATGGTCACCGGAACACGGCTTCATAAGCCGATGACGAATGCTTCGGAACGGTCATGAAAGGATCCGCAACAACTGCCTTCTCAATCTCATCCTTCGAGACCTCCTGCTTGAGAAGCCATCCGATGCCCTTGAAGATATCGATGTTTGCCTTAAACGCGGACTTGATTCCAGGGAATATGAAATGTCCATGTGGAGCACCGGGATACACATCCAATCGGGTTTCAACCCCATGAGCTCTCAGAGCCTTCTCGTACACTAGCCCATCGTCCCTGAGGAAGTCTAGACCACCGACCTGCACGACCGTCGGCGGCATCCCGACATGCGGAATTTGCGAGTTGAATGGCGAATAGTCCGCTGAATTGATGTCTGCCTTGTAATTGGCTGCGAGATAACCCCAGGCCGCTTTACTGAAGATTGGTGCCTCGGCATTCTGCTCTCTTGCGAGGAAGATACCCTTGTACTCTGGAGGCACTATCTCGTCCTCGAGGAAGAGCGGAGCTAAGAGCCAGATGCCGGTGAGAGGGGACCCGAGCTTCGTGGTACCATCGACCGTCTTCTGGGCCATTACGGCCGCCAAGTTTGCGCCGGCGGATGGGCCTCCGATGATGAACCCAGCACTTAGATCGCCGCCAAGCGTGTGCGCGTTCTCAGAAACCCACTTGAGGCCATCCTCAACATCATTAGGGGCCGCGGGAAAGGGGTGGGTAGGCGCCAGGCGATAGGAAAGGTTAATCACCGTGGCGTTGAAGAGCTTTGTGGCGATCCTGGCCCAGGGGCTCATCTGACGGCAGTCGCCCATTGTGAAGGCACCTCCGTAGATTAGAACGATGACTGGGGACTTTGCACCCGTTGGCGCGGAGGGCTTGTGGATGCGAGCTTCTTGTTGGCGGTCACCATCGCGCATTGGGATTTGGATGGAGTACTCGAACTCTGTGTCTGGGGCTGGGGGAGCTGACTCTGGTAGTGGATGCCCAGCTGCCAGGTACTGGAGTATGGTTAATGGCCAGATCCCGTTATGTGGAAAAGACTTGACCAACCTGTGCGACCTCTGGGCTTCAGCGAGGAGTCAGTTGACTTTGTTCCAAATGTCAGAAATTTCTCACTGCAATCACTTACTCAATGACGCTCAAAGCAGCAAGCTTTTCTTTCGTATCGTACTCCATCTCGTTCACAATGGTTTTGGTCTCGAGAGAGCCCATCGTCACAGTCTAAGACTCTTAGCACCTAAGCAGAATTGCAAGTTTTGGGATAATATGGGAGAGTAATGCGCACGAGAATAAAATAGAATGGATTGAGAAAACTTCCCTCAGCGAGCGGCCACCGTCAATTTAAAGCAAGGTCCCTACGCTTGCTTTATCTGATGTGACGGAATCTGGTTCCAACAGGGCTAAAAGATTACATGTTTGTCTAGTCCCAACGACAAGCGCTACTAAAGGTCGGACATGGTCTCCGCACCAATTGTCCGAGGGACCACAATGTCTTCGCTTCGATGGTCATTATTGATCGGCTCAAGGGTAGAAAGGGTATGCAGCAAATGAAACGAACCCCCCCGCGGAAAGCCCCTCTTCCAGTGCAACGAATCATCCCACGTCAGCAAAATAACCATGCGACATTTCGGTGATTGTCCAACGAAAAGTCCTTTCTGGCAAACCCAACCCAACGGTCTGGCTGCAGTTGAGGTTACATTGGAGATGCGCGTGCGAGGCCCAGTTCGGAGAAAGTAAGGCTTGGCGATGTTTGTGTCCCATAAACACGATTCATAAAGAGTAAAAGATCCTATTTACTCGGGACCGCAAACATTTGACCGAATCAAGGCACTTATTTGCGATGCTCCAGAGGCGATTATTAAACACAATTTTACGGCGCATCCTGCATGTGTGGGAACTTTGACGTTTTCCTAAGCCAGTAGTACCTTAGTCATGGTAACATGGAATAGTCTAATTGGTTCCAAATATCTAAATTATACCGTGTCTGAGGTGAAGGACTCCTTTGTAGTGTTCTTTGACCCGAGAATCCAGAAAGGGCACTGAAGAGGTTGCTAGAACAGAGATGAAGGAGTTAACTCGAAAAGGCTGATTCAGCCTACGTGCTTTAGAACACTTTTCCTCCTTCACAAGGAGCAGGCGACAATGGCTCATGTTACCTTAGTCTAAGGTGTCAGTCTGGCGATAGAACAAGATCTCTTCGCACCTATGAGTCTTATTGAAAGACGATAGGTAGCGTCAAGGTCTTTGCCGAAAATTATAAAAGTGCCTCTACTAAATGACCCTGGAAGCTTCCTGCGACTCATCCTCAACTCATCATTCTCAACGCATCATCACCAGTTTCAACTTCTTATCGCTCTGCAAACCGCACACCACTCGACACCATCAGCTTCAATCATCACTCGTACTCAGAAAGTTACAAATCGCTCTACATCGCAATCATGTGCAACTACGTCCTCCATGTCACCAAGTGCCGTCAGTGCGGCCGCACCATCAGTTCGTCTCAGTCCGATTTCGTCTACTGCCCGTCTTACAAGAACGGCATCAGCTGCCAAACCATTCAGCGCGACTGCCGCACTCAGCTTATTTCTTGTTCGAGTTGCCAGAGCGCCTATCATCTCGAACCTATAAGTATTGTCAATGGCCTCAGCGTCTTGGATGACAAGGATTTTGGTTCCGACTCTGAGGATGGCTTTGCTTCATCCCAGTAGGTAGTGAAAACAGATTGAAGTGGTAAGTCGGCGTATATACGGTTTGTGAGCACTTTTTTCTCAGCTTTTGGCGACCATGGCTGCTATATTCCAAGTTTAGGTCTAGTCTGGTGCAGTGAATCCCGGTATTTTCCCTCAATTTCAAACAAGTGCCGAGCCACAATCAGTCGCCAACTCTAAATGTCATTCCTGATAATGCCTACTTAGAAAGTGAACCTTTTGAACAGTGATTCGCTGCACATGGAATTTTACTGGTTCAGCTCGCCTGATTCTTCACAAATTGTGACTTTCCTATTCAATCGGGCCCCTCGCTTTTGGCCAATTGACTCGTGGCAGCACTTGACGTAGTCTATTGACTCTAATGATTGGAGTTTACAAGTTAAGTGATAATACGGTTATTCTATCAATGAGGCCTTCTGTGGAAATTAGATAGGCAAAGTAGCATTAACCTGAAGGCAAGGCCCCAACCTATCGCCCTCCAGTCTCGACGTGGCATTAACAACATACTCCTGCAGCGGCGACGTCCCACACTTAAGCCCCAAAACAAAAGCGCCAGCAAACGAGTCCGCCAGCTTTGGTGACATGTGCACGGCGTCCATCGGGTAGCCCTCGACAGCGGCCTGCTGGCCCTGCACCTCAAGGGCCTGGGCGCTGTAGTTGCCGTGCGGGATGTAGTAGATGCCGGCCGCGGGTCCGCCGAGGGACTCAACGACGTACCACGAGTACCACGAGTAGATGGTAGGCGTCCACGAGAAGGTGCCGGTCGAGTAGGGGTTGATGGGGGTCGACGTTGAGATTATTACACGGGCGCCGAGGGAGAGGAAGGTTGAGGAGGCATTACGGAGGTAGGTAGTGTAAGTCTGTACAACTTCCGTTTGATTGCTGGAGACAGTTAGATCATCATCATTTGGGAAAAGTAAGGCCGTGATCAAGATCCATGGACGTACTTGAAAGGCACAGGACAGATGTTGTCTCCGATACCGGGGCAGTCAACTCGGTTCTTAATTGTATCGTTGATTGGGTTTCCGGCTAGACTTTTGTTAGAGGACTTGTTCCACTACTAAGGAGAAACCACGCAAAGGCTAGATACGTACGTCCGTCATTGTGACCAAACTCTATCACAACCCAATCACCAGCCTTGACCTCGTCAATAATGCGCTGAAATCGGCCCTCTCTTGTAAACGTGCGCGCGCTTCTTCCAGCGTACGCAGAGTTGTTGACCCGGATCTTTAATGGATCAAGGGAGTAGTGCAGGTACTCTCCCCATCCCTGGGTGCCGTTGTGTCCACCACCCGGTGCCATCGTGCTGTCGCCAGCAAGCCAGAGTACTTGTCGGTCATCGGCACCTGAGCGCTCGGTGGGTGCCGCGAGTGTCGATCCAGCTCCCAGGAGGAGGGGAACAATGGACAACTTCATCGTCGGTTTCTATGCTTCTGTGTCGACTGGATTCTGGTAGAGGCTGGCGCGAGAGCTTACGAGCTGCCAAGCTAGAAAATCCCGCCATGGCGTGGCTTTCTTTTTATTCCTTCTTTCTATGGCGAAGGTGTGATTGACAGCGGATCTCGGCACCCAGCACCATCTCGGGTGCCAGGGCTACCATCATGTCTCCCCGCATCTAACTGAACTGACAGGCCTCTAAGCTGGCATTTCCCCGCGTAATCCAGGGGTCATTTGGAGGCAAAAGACTCAACGGCGGGACCGCTAAGCTGGATGAATGCTGAAAGGCCGTTGCTCAATTTGCGCACGAGTGGGAAAGCGATTGCCTGGTGTTTGATGAAGCGCTCCTCATTCGTGGGAAGAAGGTGGGTGATATTTGACTCGGGCCAACAGGGGCCGAGTCCACCACGAAGTAGGCTTTCGGCCGACCGTTTGCCGAGTGAACCCGGGCAGATGGATCATGACCCCGTGGGGAGATGATCGTATAGGGTCCGTCTGATCCGGGGTTGATTGATTCCGCTGCACCCGGAGCTACTTTGGGCTTCATGTGATGATGCACAGGTCTTAATCATTCTTCGGTCTCCTGAACTGAACTCATGCACAGCGAATTGAGCGACTACTCCTGTCGTAGGAGTCAAGACGAAGAGGCTTGTGTCAATGTTACTTGCTATAACCCGAATGATGGGCAGGTCTGCTAGGCAAAATTGCACAAAATATCTTGGTCTTGAGGCAATTCAAACATTGAAAGCTGATAGCATTATTGTGGCTTGTTTCTATCGTGAGATCAGATCTAGTCCTGTGGCTTTGACCTTAGCTATTGCGGCCTCGGATCCATTTGACAGCTCGTGACGCGGCCCGACCTAGAAAGACGAGTAATCCGATGGATTGCGACATTCGGAAGCGGGATAGCCATCAGATACAGTGCCGTCCGATTGCGAGTCCGACTCGTCATTCCAAATGAATGGTCAATATTTCTTAGAGTGATACTCCAATGGATATTGCAACTTCCACAGTTCAGTTATAGCTGGTGTTACTGCCAGAGGCAACTTCGATGTGGTTTTGCTGATCACCCTATTTGAACATTATAGTCACTCTACTTCTGACATCATGTAACCATACGAGTAAGTATCTCCATTGGCGATGATATCAAACCCGATTCTTCGGGCCCAGACGCACGATATCAAGCCAAACGGGACTGGCCGCCACGGGAAAGATCGAGGATTAGCATTGGTGTGGTTACCTGTTTGGGCATTGAGCTCGTGCTTTGACTCGGGCCCTCGGACGTGTTCCTGGTGTGGGGGGCAAACATTGACTTTTGCCATGACAGGATTGAAACCCGACGCATTCGGTTGCGGGGATTCTCGAGGGTCGCATTTCATGCCGGGGGGAAGATGCCGGCCGGGGGACCGAACACGAGGTGAATGCTGGATCCATTCTGAGGTGAATAACAAACGCGAAGTCAAGCCAGTGGGCACATTGAGCCAACCTCAGGTTTGTGATGGTTGATTCTTTCGAATGAGATTTTCTAGTAAAGCCGGCCGGATATGAGAATGCGTCTTCATTTAAGCTTGATGCTGAGAATAGCTTCCACCATGCGCGCACTGCAGAATGTGCTAAGCTCGAATAAGTTTACACAGCCACAATACCTCAACATCCCCAGCCAAGGGTAGTAGTTTCCCACAGTCCAAGGGAGTTGGATGTGACGAGGCATCCAATGATTTCAGAAAACGGACGAAACTTATAGGAGAAGGCATTGAATGACACGTACTCTGCTTGATATATGCAAGCAATGGGGAGCTGAGCTGAGCTGAGCCTGCATATGATCCTCTATGCCTCGGGAGGAATATTAGTGCACATGCCACACAAAGCATTGGGAATAGATCCAAAGCAGGTAATGCACCAGAATCAGATGCTTGGAAAGAATCAAGTCAGATCTAGGAGTCTGCACTGATGCAAGGTGCTGCAGATAGCCGAATAAGAAAGGAGGGTCGCCCAGACAAAGCCGACAGGGGCATGGGAGAGACACTGGGGACACTGACACTTGACACGGCGACTCCCGCGGTCTGTTCGCTGTTTCTATTCAGAGAATCGACGTATCAAAGAGAACATTGTTGAAATCCTTAAGTGGTGGATATTCCCTCCCCTTCCCTACCTCTACGCGCATCCTAAGGAGAACAAACCAGTGACATACAGTCTCGTGACGTCACTTACCCGTGATCCACAATTCAACCGGAGGACCGGTGACCGAACACGATCGCGGGGACCTTCTAGAAACGCAACATCCTTTTCACCTCACCGGAAGCTGCTACCACCCAGCTCCTGCCTACAAAATATTTCACATCGCCAACGTGAAGTGCAGACCCGACCGGATCTTTCCCTCCAACCAAGCGCTGCCGCTGCAACTCACTATATTGTCAACACCGTTCGAGAGAGACAGCAAGAGGCAGAGGAAGCTCCAGTAGTAAATGGCCATTGGCGTATCGTGAATACTACCCGTCATGGCCTCCCAGCAGCCCTCCGGCCTCACTGCTGAGCAGACAAAGGCCCTGTTCAACATCCTCACCCATTTCGAAACGTACCATGAGATCGAAGACTTCAAGAAGCCAGAAACCATTTCCGATTATGGCTACCCCTTTGCGCAGAGCTCCAAACCCGGCGAGGCCGTCGCCTACGCCCCAGAATCCTCCGCACCCCTCCTACAATCACTCTTCACCAGATTCGTCCTGAAGCTGCCGGGCGTCTCCTCCTTTGTCCCCGAGTTCTGGAACATCCGCGTCCAGGGTATCCTCAAGAACTTCGCCGAAGCCGAGCTGTCCGAGAGCTACGAGAAGGGCGCTTTGGGTACTAGAAAGACCCTGGCAACCGCCTCGTCCACTGTCATAGAGACCGTCGCGCGTGGCATGATTGGTGGCGGACCCTACAGTGATCCGGCGACCCGGCTAAAGCAGTATGATTTGGAGAGGGCGGAAGACCTGGCACAAGCGTGGGATGATGCTATGCATGACCTTGTTTACGGGGACCTCTGCGACAGCTTGCTCGACCATCTTGCAGAGACGGACGATTTTGAGTCGCACTCTCCAATGACCAGGGCGGCGAACGAGTACATCATTGTTCAGTCAGTATTGCTCCTTGCGAAAGCAGTTTGAGGACGAAAAACTAACTAACACGGAATTTTACAGCCTGGCTGGACTTGCCCACCAAGTCCTTGTTGTCTCCCCCGAGGGCCAGTACTTAGTCAAGCTCATGGAGCAGGTTCACAAGATGGTACCATACAACATGGTCCGGCAGACACTCAAGGTCGGTAATGCTGCGACCATGATTGCAGGCATGATGAAGATCTTCCTGGCCAAGCTCAGTGTCGGCTCGGTCTCGAACTGGTTTGGCCTCACAAAGGATGCTGCAGACGGCATGAATCTTATGCAGAGGTTCGTTCTCCTCAAACTAAGGGTGCTAACACCTTGAGGGATATAGAGAGACTAACGCGACTGCAGGATCATCTCCGTCATCCTCGGCTGGGACTGCGCAGACTTCAAGAAGACGGTCGACAGGATCGCCAAAGACAAGAACAGGCCAAGCAAGGGCGCCCTGGACGCCATTAAGGCCCATACCCAATCACCTCCAGCCGAGCGCGAAGTAATCCGAGCCATGAGCGCGCAGCAAGACAAGTCCATCATCGCCGTCATCCTCGATACCGCGAACCCTATCCTCTTATCTGACCTCAGCGAGGAAGAGCACACGATGTGCCTGGAGTACTACGCAGCACTGCTGGCTATCCGCGACCGGGAAGAAATCATCAGCATCCTCTGCAGGCAGAGCCCGGACTACCTCACCCAGGCTGTCCGCGAGGCAGTAGCGGGGATGGATCCTATCATCCGCGCCGTACATAACAAGGTTGACCTCTCGGACCACGTCAGGGACTACCACATGTTCCTTGACCAGTTGATCGCCTGCAGCAAACCGAGGAAGGGAAAGAACAAGGACGATCCGGAGACCATGCCAACCGTGGAGGACTACGTCAAGCTGTGCAAGAACAACAAGCACCTCCTGTACAAGTGGCTGCACGCTGTAGGTGGTAAATGCCCCGAAGTGATGGACCAGTTCAGAGCGTGGGCAAAGGACTCCCTGGTTGCGTTCCACAAGACGAAGAATGGCGGCGCGAGCATCGAGCAGCAGCTCGGCGACATTTTCAACCAGGTTCCCGACAATAGCAGGGCGGCTCTACTTCCAATCATTGACGCTCACGCCGTGTACCTGCGGGACCTGGAAAGACTGTCCTTGACGCGGATGCAGACCATCATCGAGGGCAGGTCGACAAGCATGGCCGGTCCGGGTATCTACTTGGTGCGGTGGCAGAACCTGATGGACGACACCCTCATCACGCCGGTGAGGCCCGTCGGCCCGGTGCGATTAGGCAGAGACGTCCAGGGGGCGGCGCCGTCACAGGGTAAGCGGGGTTCCGCGTCGAGCGATGCTGGCGAGATCATCGCGGCGGTACGCGACATGAATCTATCTTCTCTACCTGAAGCGCCAGACGTGCAGGCCGTCATTCAGGCGCTGGGGCCTAGGTTCAAGCAGTTGCTCACGGTAGCGTCTAGAGCCAACGGTCCTCCAAAGAATGGCGCAGCCAATGGACATGCTGTGTTGGTTTAAGCTTGGATGGATTGCAGACGAGCATTATGACGTGTTTTGGGGGACTTATTTTGGACTTTCGGGGGGGATTAACATGGTGTCACATGATGACTACTACAAACGACTTGCATGAGAACATGGTTTGATGGTCTTTAGGGATTGGCCTGGCGTTTGCGGGAATTGGTATTACCCTGGACTTGGACTGGGCTGGTACTGAACGGCAAGCCGGATACTTGCTGTAGACTCAGGCATAGATATTGAACAGAGACGGCACCAAGTAAACGGAGTCTCGCAGTGCTGTGACACTGGCAGCCTGAGAAAACACGACGGGGCAACGTGAAGTATTCGACGAACCAAGAGCTTTGGCATGTGTGTGCGAAGCTTGCTCCAGTCTTGACTAGAAGAGCGAAGTATAAATACCTAGCTGCCAGTCAGAGACAGATGCATTCATCAGTCTCTAAAACTGTGTCATTGTAACTAGCCGTAGCATAGCCTCACTCTTCTCACTCATATTTCTTCTCAGCGTTCATCCACCCGCACACAGTTGGCATGGTGCAGGTAGATCATCTTGGCAACGTCGTTGCGGCAATTAACGGCCAGGAATTGTCAGCAAACAAGCATCCCGCCATCCAAGAAGCAGCGGCAAAAGTTTGCCGCCAGTCCATACCAAGTCAGGTAGCTCGTCGAGATCATCTGGCGTCGCTAAGCGACTTGCCCCAAGCTCATCCCTGTCTAGCGTCGAAGAAGCGGCACACATTGGGATGTTTAGACGAATGATCCGCCGTCAGCTCGCTTCAAATATCTCTCACTCATCTCGCTTTCGTTTAGACTTGCCCTAGAGCTGGTTGCCTCCCTGGTCGGGCCCGACTGGACTTTCCCTCCTTTCCAACCTCGCCCGCCTCAACTTTCCCTGCCTTATTACACATCATCCTCGTCTGAGTCCTTGAGATATTTCTACCATCTCTCTCTCAGAGCTCTTCCCAATACCACACAACTCTATTGTGACAACAGCTTGCAAGTCTTGTCTATTCAAGAATTAGTCTTATAATGTCTACTACGACGACCACAACCCGTGCTCCAAGCACGGGCATAGACCTCAACAACCTCCCCCCATCTCATGACCCAGAATCCAGCTCCTTCGCCTCCTCAGAGACCAACGACCCCTACAACCTTGGCACACACATCAAATCCGACGCTGACATAGTCCAAATCACCTCAGCATACAACACGAACAAGCCGCGAAGCACCAAAACCAGCACCCGAAGACGCCTAATCCACCACAGCTTCACCCGTGGCGGCGCCAAAGATGCAAAGCTCCAAGACTTTTACCGCGCGCAAAACGAAAAGATCCGCTCCTATCTCAAGAGTGTAGACGACCACGAGCGTGAGGCGAAAGAGACGCAGGGCGACAATAATCTGAAGTACCAAATTGCGGTAAAGGGTAGCTTGGCGGCCAATGTCGTTCTCTCGGCGCTGCAGCTTTACGCTGCGATTACCTCTGGCTCGCTTTCGCTCTTCACCACCATGGCTGACTCGGTCTTTGATCCGTTGTCGGGCGTCCTGTTGCTGCTTTCTCACCGCGCGGTGAAGAAGGTTGATACGCAGAAGTACCCCTCTGGTAAATCACGCATCTCGACGGCGGGAAACATTGTCTTTTCATTCATCATGTTTTCCGTCTCGTTGGTCTTGATCGTCATGTCGGCTAGGGACTTAGCTGCTGGGTCTGAGGAGGAGACTAACGAGTTTCACTTCACATCTGTCATTGCCGTCGCGATTGCGTTCGGGACGAAGTTCTGTTTGTGGCTTTACTGCTGGTCTATCAAGGATATCTACTCTCAGGTTGAGATCCTCTGGCGTGACCACCGCAACGATCTCTTCATCAACGGGTTTGGTATCTTTACCTTTTCAGCTGGGAGTAAGATCAAGTGGTGGATCGATCCCATGGGCGCCATTCTCTTGTCGTTTCTGATTGCGGGGTTGTGGTTGAGGACTGCTTATGAGGAGTTCCAGTTGTTGATCGGGGTATCTGCCGAGCCTGAGTTCTTGCAGCTCATCACTTACATCGGTAAGCTAGTCGTGATTCCCGATGAACTGTGGACGAGATTTGAGAATGGAAACTGACAAGACTTTGTGCAAGCGATGACTCATTCGCCCGAAGTCAAGCAAATTGACACTGTTCGCGCATACCACAGCGGACCTCGTTACATCGTTGAGATTGATATCGTCATGGACCGCCATGAAAAACTTGAGATTGCCCACGATGTCGCCGAGGCTCTTCAGATCAAGATCGAGAAGTTACCAGGAGTCGAGAGAGCCTTTGTTCATGTTGACTATGAGACAAGTCATAAGCCTGTAAGTTGGATAATGTTTGAAAGAAACGTTCTGTGCTTGTTTGCGTTCTGACTGACGCTGGAAATGTAAGGAACATGACCTGAAAAAGGATCTCTGATAGCTCAAAGCTAAAAGTCCAGTGTAACTATTGTGACTGCTTACTGCAAGATTGATACTACAAAAAAATGTGGCGGAGAGATATGGAGAGAATTATAAAAGAAGCACCAAGTTGGAGAAAGCACATGAACTATGCTAGGAAAGGTTATACTGATGCAACTACTGAAGTAATGTGAAGAGGTGACTGCGATTTCATGGCCGATGTATGAGCTGATTTGGAACCGGTAAAGAGGAATACGTCCAACACGGGGGTATGCAACATTCGGCACCCTTAAGCCACTCTGCAAGGTCAGATAATGGTGGAAATTGCAATCATTTACATGAGTCTACTACTTAGTCGGCTACGTGAATGTTGTGATTATAGTTGATCCTTGAGAGTGAATATCCAAGCCGAAGACAAGGCATGAAACATCATCACATGGGGTACAATAGTTTTCAGACTGAAATTGTTGGCATACACGTCAGTAGGGCAACCCGATGGTCGGTACGAGGCTCAGTAATCTGGTATTGATCTGTGTATATATGTGTAAGGAGGAAGTTGGTGGGCATGGTCCACTATTATTCCGTTGGGTAATGTGTAAGTAGGTGAAGGGGCCGTCTATACGGCTCATACCACCTTCCAATCCACCTCTTCTGCCGTCAATATTCCAACCGAAACTTTCATCTTCCGCATCAAAGTACCAACTGTTATGCTAATTCTATCGAGTGCTAGATCGCGTCAGGATATCGCCGCTTGGACCAGTAACGAATTACGTATTATTCCCCTCTCCTTTACAGGCATGCCGTGTTAATCCCACTTACTGAATTTACCTCAAAAAATCACACAAAATCACACAAAGAATCGACACTTTATTATTCTGGCCTGCACTAAAATTTGGTGATTCTAATCCATCTTGGAAACATAAGTTCTTCGTCATTCACCTCAGGCTTCTCAATCAGTCTTTCTAGCGGAATATGGTAGGTCATTTATGAACAAGTGTAAGGCTGTGTGGAACAAAAGATCCGACCTGAAGCTATCGACGCGAGCAGTCTCTAAGCGTTACAAAGTTCGAAGTATTCTTGAGATTGAACCTTCGTTGAAGTCGCCAAGCTCTCAGCCTCTCTTCTCACTGCAATTCATTTGTATGACCTCTCATTTTGATTTTGATAGTCTCGAGTTCCATCTGTATTATAACACCTCAGAATCCTCCCATATTGTGGAAACTACAGACACCAGAGTTTAACTCACATCGTTCAATTGTTTTGAGGTTTCAAAGCTCCACTGATGATCTGAAGACTGCTTGTCTGTTAGTGTATGAAAAGACCTAAGGACATCGAATGCTTTACACACCCCGCCAATGGTGAAATTGCCTTTCCCAACAATGTTCACCAGAACTGCAGTAAGAAGATCTCCATCACCATATGGAATAGGCAGACTATGAGTGTGCATTATGGGCTCGTGGTTGCTCGGATGAGACTTTTTCTTTTCAGAGAAATGTAGCGCCACTAGAGAGGTAGTAAACTCACCGTGTGTAGGGTTGATTCTCAGTCGACCTCTCACTTGCTGTAGTCTTAAGTATGTCAACTTGCGAGCCTACAACAATTCAGGCTACACCGAAAACTTCCTCTTCCAATCAAGACAGAATGAAGATCACGCAACTATTCGAAAAGTAAGGCGAACTATCAGTTGCCGACACCCAAGCGTATCAGTGCATATGCAGGCTCTCGCATGTCCGCGAATCTCCGGACATTGTTCCATCATGCAACTTCAGGTGTCCTACTTGGCTGAATCAGCGTGGATGGGAGCTGCATGATTGGGGCTGCAACATTTGCCTAGTAGGAAGAAACACCATACTCGCTGCTTGGAGCCACTCACAACTGACGCCCCCATCATATGCACAACCAAGACATTGGTATCCCGAACGAGGCATCCTGCGAGCGGGGTGAGGCTTTTCTATGCAATCGCGAGATTATGGAGCTCATCGAAGTTACAACTAACAAATCGTGAGCTCGAATACACTCATTTTAATGTTCACCGTAGTAATCGAAATCAGTGGCGATTTATAATTCTGCGTTAACCCCCTTTATAGAGTTCATGCCAGAACACATACTCTGAGTCCTCTCCTTTCCATAATTGAGGCGGTGGAAAGACTGGCCGCCTCAGCGTCTACCAGCACCCAATATCTCAACCTGGGTTTCGGCTTTGCCACTTCTCAACCGCCATGTCTTGGTTATGTAGAAACTCAAGCATCTTTGAGAAAGACCTGGCTGTAATCAAGTTCAATCCCGGAGACAGTCGAATATTCGCAATTGAGCGCCAAGACGACGTAAGATAGTATGAGTACGGACGTGAGTGAACTGACGAGTGCTGATGTCTAAGTAGGAGACGCCGGATCTCATAAACACCTGGACCAATACTACCGACGCTGCTTGGGAACAGTGGTTAGAGACGGTGAGACACCTAATTCCGTTTCTGCCATGCTTCGTGAGACATAGTCTGATTGTCCGTGATTATCAGGACCAGTCCCTACGACAAAACTCCGAATCAAGCCGAATCAATCTCATCTTAGGTAGCCGAGCTCAATCCTGCTGGGGTCATGACCCATCCATCATCTCAAAGCTGCCCTGGTCACGGCGAATATACTCTAGTATTAAGGAGCGCTTCTTGGTGCATAGCGCAATCGTCAGGGCAATGAACCGTATCACAAGCGGCATGTTCTCTCAAATGAACTTTGAATGTAAGAATAAGGGATCGGAACAAAGATCAATCGGTATGTGAAATAAAAATTAAAGGACAAGAATTGTATACCGTATGTTTACCAAGAGAAATAGTATAAATCTGCAGGACAGCAGCGTCTTGGCTGGGCGACATGGCCTTATCCGTGACTTTTCTACCTGGTACCCTTACCACGAACGCCGTTCTACTCGGATGTGATTTTAGGAAGGCCGACATGTACGACAGCTGTGTGACCTTGGCTGATATCATTACCTCTCGACTAAGATATTCTGATACTCAGGTATTCCATCCAATGATGATACCAACAATCTTCGCCGATGCCGAACGAGACAGGCAAATTGAGCTCGTTAGAGAGAAGCTTCAGCAGTTAGGAAGGCGGATTGACGATATAACGTGCACTAAACTCTGTGCAAAGACCGCATCAACCTTTCATGAGTAAACGGAAAGTCCAACACGGAGCGAAAAGAGCGAAATTCCCACTGCTAAGCTTTGGCAGCAAGTAAGCCACCCAAGAACTGGACTCAGCAACTGGCGAAGGCAGCTGCTCAAAATGATAACGCACGTCGAAGATCTCAACCGTGTCGAGTTTGCAGCCCAGGGCCCTTCCTTGGAGTACACGAAGATCCAGCGCCGGCAATTTTCTCAACCCGGAGAGAGAATCAGGGACAGGCTCCAAGAGCTTGTTGACGAATATGACGAGTACATCAGAGAATGTTCACATATCATGGAAGGCTTCAGCCTGGCGACCCAGCTTGTAAACGAATACCACCGCATAAGGTAGTCGACAGGAGGACATTAGCTGAACGGCGGTGTAATCACCGTAACAGGAGATAAGCCAGATCAGCCGCAGCGATGCCAAAACAAATCAAGAGATCTCGCGGGCCAATCTGGATGTCGCTCAAATGACGCGTCGTGATGGAAGTATCATGAAGTCAATCGCTGTGCTTGGCATGATCTTTCTTCCTGCTTCATTCGCAACAGTATGTGACAAGAGTTCCCATGGACTATTTAGCTGGAGCTGACGGCTCAACAGGCATTCTTTTCCACGGGATTCTTTGATGTTTCAAAACAAGGCGAAAGGACAGCAGTCTCAAGCCTCCTCTGGATCTACGTACTTGCTGCATTGACCTTGACACTGGGCACCATGGGCACCTTCTATGTCTGCATCTTGAAGGGAAAGAAGACTGAGGTCACATACAACAGAACTCTGTCAGCTTAGCCACTGGATACAGCAATCGTGATCCTGTTTTTCTGGGGCATGAGATGCCTGTTTAAGCAAACGCATCGGCCGTCATGTGTCAGGGTAAGTTGATTGGATTTGGCAGCAGTTAGCTTGATATCTCCTATTTGAAGTCCACGGCCGTGAGATCTGACAGACACGACAACTTCGTACTACTAGTAAGAACTTATGAATGCACAGGCAATAAGTGCACGCGAAGTGTGGCTAGCGGCGACTAGGTCTTGTTTATGACTAGTATAACAACGAACTCTCGTGAAGGGGGTTCTCGACCTTCAAGTCAGGACAGTTAATGGTATTTGCATACTGAAGTAAATTGGCCAAGCGCGTACATTGTCATCGAATATCTCGTATTATAGCACCTGGTCGATGAATTTTGTTGTTCCATTTTCCAAAAGTCTTGAGCCAGGTACCTTGGGCGGCAACAGATCTAGACCGTCAGGAAGTGCCCACGACTCTAGCTATAATATTCAACAAGTACGTTGTGGATGTTATTCTTGTGAAACGACGATGTACGGAGTAGATACTCCTCAATCACAGAGCATCTCATGCCGATGCCCCTTTGGCTTTGCTATAAGCCATAGTAAGCTAAGGTATAATAAGGTATTATGATATGGCAACTGGGACCACACACTCCTATGCCTATGTTTGGTTGGCACAGCAAACATGAAGCTTGCGGCGTCACTGAAGAATTGTCGACGTGCAGAATGAGGGCGCAATGCTGATTCCGAGTGCGAAAAACCAAGCTTGGACTCAATAGGCAAGTAAGCTGACATCAGATCACACCCATTGAGTAGCTCTAGACCTTTTTGCCAACTGCCCATGTGGCACAGTAATAATCAAATACTCGTTAGTGCGAGGAAAAATGATTAGACGCATGCAGCGGCTATTCGGTGGTTAGGTAGGCACCCATGTCGGTTCAGCCGCAATTTGGCAGCTCGCGCTGGACTGAAAACCCTTGTTGGTAATCACCCCACCATTTGTTGCGCAAGAAGAGGCTTTTGGCGCTGCCAGTAACGTCGGATCAGGCTGCAGGATTACTGGCGAGAATTGTTGCCGAGTTCGCCACCCACTCGCTCGACGTGACTGTCCGACCGCAAATCGTCTATGCATCTAAGACATAAACACTGAACGTTTGCTTCTTCTCTCTACGTCCTATGGATAGTTCGTTGACTCACGCCAACATCAGCAACCGCCAAAGCTCCAGTTGCCTTTGAAGATACTACAGGAACTGAGATATCTGGCGAGCATACTCCTCCATCCGACGTTGCTCCATTGCCCATACCCTCTGAGCCATCCACTCGAAGACAGGCGGCACAATGAGAGAACAGGGACCATCAGATTCGCCTGCGAAGAAAGTCGTCAATGGAGACAGGTCCATGGATGAGATCTGGGCAGCTGCAGCCGAGCATTTCCGGGAAATATGCGGCGAGTCGCTTAACAAGGGCGAGTTGAAGAGCTTCGAAGACGTACAGAAACAAATCGAGAACAGCGGCAACGTCAATACGAATCCGAGTCCGGAAGATAGCTGGGAGACAGCTAAAAGTGTTGGCTTGAGTTCTCTTAAGTACCTCAAGATGCTCGTGGGAGCTGCTTCGCAGGCCTCTTCATTTGTCAGTATTGCTGAAGACCATCTTTATAACCCTCATTCGCTGATGTGATTAGATTCCCATTCCGGCTGTGGCTAGCAACATCACAGCCAGTGCGCTATCATTTGTATTCGATATCCCTCAAGCTATCAAAGGCTACAACGATGCAGTAGATCAAGTCTTCAGCGAAGTGGCATCGGCGCTGTCTCAATTTCAGATCTATCAGTCCATGGACAGCGTCGATCGCCTGCTCATCAACCAGATCAACCTAGTCCTCATACGCTTTGTCGAGGTCTGCGCTCATGTTGTCAAGCACCGTCAGGGCCGTAGACGGGACCGAGTCTTCCAACGAGTCAAGTCCATCTTCGACAGCGATACGGACTTGGCTGGTGCTATGGCTGCTTTCAAAGGGGCCATGCAGGGACAGCGCGACGTTGAGGGGACTGTCACTCTTGCTGTGGTTGTAGAGACGCAGAGGGCGGCGCAAGAAACTCATAAGGGTGTCCAGTCTCTGACAGATGACGCTGACCGCACAAAGACATTGACCAAGATCCGCGATAATCTTGGCGTGCTGTCAACGGTCCGGCTAGACACCAATACCACGCAGACCGTTACCACTATCTCTGACAAATGTTTCAACGGCACAGGTTCTTGGATCTGGACACACGAAGCATACACGACTTGGACGGCATCTAACGATAAAGATGTCTTGGTTGTGTCTGGCCCTGAATCATCCGGCAAGACATCAGTCACCGCCCTCATCACCAAACGCCTCGAGGAACAGAAGGGCCGCACCTACGTTGCCCATTACTTCTTTCCTGTCAGTACTAAGAAGTCTGAAAGTGACAAAAACCCGGTGCAGACGGCGTTGAAGTACATGGCTTTCCAGATTGCTCGCGTTGATGTCACGGTGCGGAAGGCCCTAAGCAAGGCATGTGACGCCGGTCCCGCGGCGTTCCGTCGCTCATCGACCACCGAGAACTTGGAAAAGCTGTGGTCAGATCTTAAGATTGGGGCTCCTGGATCGGGAGCTACATACTACCTCATATTTGATGGCATAGAGAATCTGCATCAGGATCAGTTGAAGATGCTCCTTGAGTTTGTCTTTGGTTCTCGAACGAAAGCGAAGCCGACTCGACGAGTGCGTATCTTGGTGAGTGGCACGGACGAGAAGTTGAAGACTGCTTACCAGCCGAACTTCGACGATGCGTTGAGAGTCCAGATGGAGAAGGAGAACGAGAAGGACATGCGGATCGTCATCCTCGAATCCTTGAACAAACAAGGTGTGCTTCCAAACGCTGGAACCAACTCACAACATCAGAAGGCAAGGGACAAGATTCTCGAAAAGCTTCCACAGAATGTCAACGGAAGATACTCAACATTCCAGCCACAGCTAGACGGAGTCATACGTCTCTTGAGCACACGCATGGCTACGGTTGAAGAGCTAGACCGCATGCTCGATCAGTCAATGAGCGGCCTCGAAGCGGCGATCAGTGATCTACAGCGGTCATTGACAGCTGATGAGATCCTAGAGCTGAATGAAATGCTTAAATGGGCCTTGTACAGCCACTATTATCTCACGCTGGACCAACTTGAGTCTGCCATGGTAAGGAGTTCTGCTTTGATTTCTTAGTTGTATAGAAGCTGACATAGATAAACGAAGAGGCTGTTTTCGGGCATAGAATCTCTTACGTCTCTCGAATACGTCCTCAGAAATAAGTACTCGTCTCTGTTGATGATCGATGAGGGTAGTGTCTATCCTCAAGACGGTGTTGTAGACTATCTCCAGAAGCAGAGAGAGCTCGCGAACCGCTCGTCCAATTCCAAAGACCGTCCCACCATCAGCATGACCATCACCATAAATAACGTCGATCAAGAGCTTTGTGGGCACTTTCTCTGGGATCTTGCGGATATGGCGATCCGGGACAAGTTCAAATTTGATTTTAACAACTCGAGTGCCTTGCACACCAGCGCCCAGCGTATTATTTCAGTGGATGAGTTTGAGGCCAATCAAACAATCGTGACTCGAGCATTCAATTACCTTAAAGGCGATCCCCAGAAAGAGACCCAAGACATTGGAGAGTATCTCATTTGTTGGCTTCCCTACCATCTGGGCCAACTTCGACAGCTCGAGGACGAGGGCAAGGGAGAACTTACCACAAATGAACGGGCTGAGATTGGAAGTAATTTGTACAATCTTTTCAGAGACGATGCGGTCTTTAAACGGCACAAAGCGACTCTCGGAGAGGTCTATTGGTGGGCAGACGAGATGACAGACGTTCAGAAGTGGTTGACCGACCCAGCAGTCGTCCGAAGGCTCGACAAGTCATGGCGTGCGAAGATGGAGCGTGCACGATATCCCCCGAGAGGGTATCGTAAGGAACTCGTCAATATGGTCGTGCGGGGGTTCCTCAGAGAAAGGAGCTGGGGTATACCGAGCGCTTGTCGGTGGCTGAAGGAGTTTATGGCCGCGGTAAACCTCTCTCAATAATCCCTAAGAAGAAGTTCAGCCTATTGACGCGTGTATGAAAACAGGACAAAGACAAGGTTGAAACGCTTCCAGACACCTCAACCCCCGACGGAGATGATGCGAACCCAGATGGCTCATCACCTTCACCCTCTTCCGCTGGGTCCAGCGACGAGATAGACTGGGACGTCGCCAGCAAATGGTGCCAAGAAATTCTCGGGCTGTCAGATGCTGAGCTTGATTCTCTCTGGTACGAGAGACTTGCTGAGGCATCGTCTTGGGTGGGGAACAATCCCGATCAAGCTCTGTTACTCTATCAAAAAGCTGCTCAACTCGAGAACCCAAGTTGGCAATGTTACCACGGCCTGGGTGTGACGTACTACAACCGGGATCAATTGGGTCAGGCCATAGAACAAGTTGAGCTTGCTCTGAAGGAGGCTGAATCAGAGAACACAATGCCGAAGCCAGATTCGAAGGAAATCACCGAGTTGCATTTATTGCTGGGAAAGTACACCTATGAGGCGCAGAACATGCCCACCGCAGCAAAGCACTACTTGGTGGCATCTCGAAGCGACGACACTGAACAAGCCGTTGTCGGACAACTAGGTCTCCTGAAGGCAAATCTGAGGTCCTCAGATGTCGCAGAGGCCGCACAATTGCTGAAGACCATGATTGCTGCAGAAGGCGGCGAAAGCAGGATGACTAATATTCTGAAGAAGATAGCGAGGGACTCTGAGCATGACGTTCTCGCCTCAAGCATGTTCAAAATCACCAAAGACGATCCCGAACTTCTAGAGAAGATGGTCCACGCAATGTACTCAGCCACGCAGAAGTCCACCGCGCAAGAAGACCATAACACCGAGCCCTCTAACGTGGATGCGCAATATGAGGAATACGAAGCCCAAGGGGTCCTCCTCTATGACCTAGGCCTCGCAGCCTACAAGTTCGGCATCACACTGGATGGAAAAGAGCGCGTGAGCGAAGCTCTGCGTCTTTGGACCGAGAGTCGAGACCAGCTCGCCAACGTCGGGGGCCGCAACGCCTACGTCGCACGTTCAAACGCCACCTCGGCTCTTGCGAATCACTACTTCTTAAACCGAGGGAATGGGAAAGACGAAGAAGACCTCAAGGCCCTGGCCAAACTCGCTAACGACGAATCGAATGTGTACGACGATTCTCTGCGGGCACACTTAGCCGCGCTCCACGCGTTACGAGGGGAGAAAGATAAAGCCAGATCGGTGCTCAAGACACGAGTAACACAGGCTCTTCAGATACTATCTGATGAGATGCCCGACAACGATAACTATGGCTTCTTCCTCCTCCGGCAAGTCATGAAAAGCTATCGACAAGAAGACTTCAAGGGCGCGTTTATCGCCCTGAGCTTGTGCGGCCAACCAGACCTTGTCACGGACAGTTTGGAATTTGCAGCCGATGATATTAAGGATGATGAAGTTGCAGACAAGGAAAGGGTTCTCGAAATTCTCGCAGTATTGGCGAAAAAAACTGCCCAGCTTGCGAGAACTCAAGTGCCAGATAGTGCGTCACAGCTACAACGCATCCAAGCTGCCAAAGCATACATCGACTCTCTTGTCCTCGCAAGTCAATCGAAGCTCGCCTCCGAAGTTGACGAAAGTCATCAAGACAAGCCGACTACCCCGGACAGCGCTGGCTCTGCAAATGATATTGCACATCGCTTACTGCAATCGCGTATCACGGACTTGCTGAACAAGCACACACCCAAGATCGAGGTCGAAACCCATTGTTTCTGCGATGGATATACTTCAGAGGGGAAACAGTGCGAGAAGCAAGGCGACTTTGACCAAGAGTTTTACCATTGCGTCTACTGCTGGGATAAAGACTTCTGTGGAGAATGTCTGGCGCGGTTACGTGACCCCAAATCCGACCTCATTACCGTATGCAGTGAAAAGCATCAGTGGATTCAGAGACTACGACAGGGGGAGGATGCTTGTGTAGGCCCAGCGGCGAAGACCGTTCCAGTGCCAACCAGCGTGGTACCAGTTGATGGCGATGCGAACGTTCTACGAGCTTGTTATTCCGAGGATGGTGGGCAGGTAATCTCAGTTGAGGAGTGGAAGGAGATTGTGGCAAGAGAATTCGAAATCACATTGGACGAGATAAAGAGTGGTGTGGCAGCGTTGAATGCGTTGGAGGGTGAAGGCAAGAGCACTAATACCTGATGGAAAGGGGCCCAGCTTTGAGTTACTTGGCCATGATCAGTAAGGCCGTCAAATGTAAAGTACCACGGTTAATCGTATCATTCTAGTAGTACCGAGTTTCTGCGCATCATTCCCTTTGAGGGCTTTGCCATCGTTCAAATTTAATATATGGCACCGGATTAGTTAAAGGAGACTCCAGTTCAACGCGATCGACGTCAACTTACTTGAACTGCCCAAGGGGCCATGGCTGCGGGTTTGGGTTTGAGTTAAGTTCATGACGACGACGATATCCACATGGTGGGCAGCTATTTGGCGCGGATATGTGCGTTTGTGAGAGAAGCTCCTGCGTCGCCGTGACAGGAGTGCATGATGGTGCCAGTGATTCTCTGTCGCAGGAGCCAGCTGTTCAATTAATCAGACCTTTGAAGCATCAGTAGTTGCCCTATTGGAAAGAGTTCTTCAATCATATATCATTGATCGGTGGCTGAGGATGGAAATGGGACTTGCAGGGAACTCAGAGGATCCTTGTTTCAAATAGACGCTGGGAATACAAGTACTTGGACTGTTTATTGTCCCAACCAGCTCAGGGGAATAATGACAAACTGCAATGAGGAATCCTCGGGCTCGGAACGTACTCCCTATGTTTCTCAAGATACGAATAAGTTTCCCGCATCGATCATCAAGTCCCTTGGTTGTTGTTAACTTGTGAATCGTTCGCCCGGAACACAATGCCCACACCATCTCAAAGTTAAGCAGCGGCCCTGGCTTACTTCAAACAAACGGCTGTGCGTCTAGCAAAGTTCTAGTCCCATTAACGTTAAACAGGCCCCACCAACACCGGCTTCAATCGTACGAATTGCGTCAACCTGATAAATGAGCCGTCCCTGAAATTTGACAAGCGCCGCATCTGCCGTGCCGATGTGCGGTCTCGTCCGGGGTCCCTTCGGGTTGCCCCCAGTCCTGCCCCTTTCATCGGGCTGGACCATGAAATGCCACTTTGACAGCTACCGCCTACCGCCAATAACGCTGCTGCTCCCTGTCAAAATCATTGATCCGCAACTAGGCTAGCCGTGCCGAGGCGCTGGTGAAATGAACCAAGCAATGAGATATCGGCGAAGGATCGAAAAGGGACGGCATGCCGCTGTGGCCCTGTGGGATAGTCGCTGCCTCAAGAACAAAACGATCGGCCCAGCCGCAAAGATTCGATGCATCTGTATCTTGTCGCTCGCTACCCAACCGCAACCATGATGAAAACGCTCTTCCTCACGGCATTGGCTGCTGGCTCAGCTGGTAGGTCGTACTCAAACCCCTGTCACACATACGATTCGCGGATACGCCCCTAACTAACTCCCGTCCCTTAGCCGCGGCGAACCTCAAGTACCATGGAATCGACTGGTCGTCCACCATCGTGGAGGAGCGTGACAAGGGCGTCACTTACAAGAACGCGCAAGGCGTCGCGAAGCCCCTGGAGGAGATCCTCGTGGCCGCCGGCGTGAACATGGTCCGTCAGCGCGTCTGGACCGTGGAAGGCGACTACGGCATCTCGTACAACATCGAGCTCGCGAAGAGAGCCAACGCCTCCGGGCTCATGTTCGGTCTCAACCTGCACTACAGCGATGGCTTCACCAACCCGGGTCTGCAGGACATCCCGACCGGCTGGCCCACGGCCATTGACGCCCTCGAGGCCCAGGTCACCAACTACACCGCTGAGGTGTGCGAGGCCTTCGCCGCCGCCGGCCTCTACCCCGAGATGATCACCATCGGCAACGAGATTGACGGAGGCATCCTCTGGCCTACCGGAAAGTACGATCAGCCCGAGAACCTCGCCCGCCTGCTGCACGCTGGCTCGGCCGCCATTCGCGCCTCTGCTTTGGGGTCGACCACGAAGATTGTTACGCACCTTGCCCACAGCTACGACGCCGACTTGCAGGACTGGTACTACGACATGCTTGTGAAGACTGGCAAGTTCACCACCGCAGATTGGGACGTCATTGCCGTGTCCTTCTACCCCTTCTGGAGCTCGGAGGCGACATTCTCTGCCCTCGAAACTGCGCTCGGAGGCCTCGCGACGCAGTACAGCAAGGAAGTTCAGGTTGTCGAGACGAACTGGCCGACCAAGTGCACATCGCCCGACACCACTTTCCCCTCAGACCAGCTTAGCATTCCGTTGAGCACGGCAGGCCAGACGGAGTACATCACCATGGTTGCGGATACCCTGAAGAAGATTCCCAATGCCACCGGTCTCAACTACTGGGAGGCTGCTTGGATTTCCAACGCCGTCTTGGGTTCCTCTTGCGAGAGTAACGTCATGTTTGATGGCACCGGAAAGGCTTACGATAGTCTGGCTGTGTTTGGCACCATTTGAGATAATCGCCCAGTTTTGTTCTTCTTTGATAGAAGAGTACTGCGATCATTGTTCATGTACATATTTCTTCAAGGTAGTTTTGTCCATCCGACAGAGATCAATCACATTACTTAAGTACATAAGCTGCCCATTTTCCTTCAACTCTCAGCACGTCCGGCAAAAGTTGGTTTCATCCATCGTTCGCTAAAGTTCTCCACTTGAGAAGTTCAATGTGTTCCTGATCTTGCAACGTTTGTGTTTATACATATAGTCTTTCTCGGGGTAGATCAATGGGGACTGTGTCCGTTATGTAATTTAACTGATAATAGACAAGAGAGCTTGCTTCGGTCTCTCCATCTACATGACAACCCCGCTTCGGAATAATGGAGCCACAAGACACGAAGCTGGCGTATTCCAACTTTTCACGCAGCCTGACGTATTCTGCATGAACAGCTCAGCCCCAGGTGTCAGCCCGTTGTCTCGGCAAACCCAGCTGGTCGAATCAAAACCAGCCAGAGACAGACATCGCCCTCCTACCCCGAAATACAAATATTCTTGGACTACGAGCCTGCTTGCGCTTACCGAGTGGCTTTGCGGCTCCCTCAATCAGAAAATGGGTATATGGGCCAAGGCGCATATGCATATACGAGCATGATTCATGGCAAGGCAAGTGGTAAGGCGTATGCGTACCTTGGCTTTAATCGGAAGGATGAGCCAATCTAAGCAATGCTTATGCAGTGTCTTCAGGAGTGGTGCTGTGATTCTTAGAAGAGGGTGGGTAAGAGTCGTCAGTTACTATAAAAGATGTCGTTACACGTGGGTACTGAGACAAGAGCCTGCTTTCATGGACACCTCACACATCGCCTCCGTTTCTTCGATGAATGATGGCTGCTACCTTGTTTGCGAAGGCGTGCGAGGCATCGGGGTAACATCGAATTTTGGCTGTGATCGCCTCATTGGCAAATGTGACATCGCGACTATTGAACGCTGTGACTCCTAGCCTCCTATCAACGCTAAGAAAGCGCTGCAGGCAGACTTACATTACCACACCGGCGACATTGGCAACTTCAGGCCAGCTCGCCTTGCATTTCTGTTATAATGCCTCATAGAGTCCATGTAGATATCTAATAAGGTAATCACGAAACTCAAACTCCTTCCCGTCAACTCGCCCACATGTAACTACCAGACTTTGTATTATCGTTCATCTCGTTGGAAACCCTCAGTCACCATGCCATCTGATCCGATGGAGATAGGGGAGGTGGACTTTCATTCCCTCGACATTTCCAGATACCAAGGCTCGGAGTATTCTGCGTCGACCACTAAAGTCGGATTAACGGTTTCGGATGTAGATGCAAAACACGAATCTCGCGAGGAGCTTCTTCCCAAAGACACTGGCTTCTCACAAGGCCCTCCAAAAACAAACCATGCTTTAGCAACGATACAGCCCAAGACCAAGTGGTGGCACAATGTCGACTCATTGCGAGACCTATGGAACTCGTCCTGGAACACATACTTGTTCCTCTTCGTCGGTATTGCCTTCGCAATCGGTCACCACGTCTTCTATCGGTCCTTGGAAGGTCGCTTGGTTCAAGACGATGAGCAGATCACTAGCATGCGGTACGGAACAGCACTAGCTTTCGCGGCAAAAGCAAGTCTTGTCATGGCCGTGTTGTCAGCGTTTCGGGAGCAGATCTGGCTCGTCGTGGGCTCAAAGTTCCTGAAAGTCACCACCCTCGACGACATGTTTGCCGCGCCAGAAACCCCCTTGTCACTCCTGAATTGGGAGTTCATCAGTCAGTAAGGCCAAGATTGCAGCCGCCCTGACGTTGTATTGCTGGTACGTTGCCACCTTTTCCACTCTCATTGCCTTATGCAAGTCAAGCTTACCCGGCAACAAGGGCATCGCCTCTTGGTGTCATCTTGACCACAAACACTCTAGCCGCCGTCCCAGGCGAAGAAGTCCAGAACACAACATGTCCCGGTGTCCGAACTCTAAACTTCAGATTCGAAGACCAAACCGACTGGCGCAACGGAGGTAAAATCGAAGATTTGAGCCAACAGTCTCTAAGCTACTGGAACAACACCAGCAGCAACAAGTCTGATCCGTATTTTTTCGACTACTACACCGCCCCCAGCGAGAACGCCGAGGAGTTCATGCATGCAAGTACTTACCTGCAACGACCTATAACGGACCAGGACACCACTTTTGAGGTATGCGAAAGAGGTTGGAACTGTACCGTCGAGATCTACTTCGTTGGCCCGGCATATCGGTGCAGAGAAGTAAGTCGAGGGGGCAAGATAAACCACACGCTATCTAGCATACGGACTTCTGTTCCTCCATTCTCCATGAACGATCTTGCCCCGAAGGGTAATTACACCTACATCGCAAACACACTCCAAGGAGAATATGCATTCCCGCAAATGGCCAAGATGAAAAAAGGCGGCATACCTGTCATGCCACCCCCCTACCCAAAACACCTCGGCGCCTTCCGAACAGAGCCGGTGATATGGATCGGCTACTCGGAGCTCAACGAGGCCTTCACGTCCGTCTACCTTAACAGCAGCGAACCCGTCCAAAACGAGGACGCCTTCACTCCAGTCCTAGTCGCTTGCGAGCACTACGAGGCTAACTACACCGCTGAAATCATCTATCGTGACGGCATGCAGCTACCGAAGATCAAGTCACGCAGGTTCCTCGCCCCGGTCGTCAACACAACCTTTTTCCCGGGGCTAGACGCAAACGATGGGACCATGGACGAAACCATTGCCGTCCCGGAAAGCAATTACATTTTACCCCAGGATGTCAAGACATACAGACGAACGGCGGGGTACCACTCAATGGGCCTTTTCCTACGCAACAAACTCAACGGGACGATCCGGGAGCCCGGCAAGGTTGAAGAGACGGGCGTGGTGCAGACCAGCCTCATCGATCACCGCTTCCACTTTGTCCGGCCAAATCTTATAGGCCTCATTGAAGCATGGTACGGGAACCTCCTCATGTCCATGTTTGCAAGACCAAGGTTCCAGGCTGTCGTCTGGGCGGCCCAGATCAACGAGCAGACTGGGATTCGGCGCACAGGACTCGGGCCGAAGACGGATTATCTTTACCCATGCGTGCGTTCACGGCCAGCTATACGATTTCACTATCGCACATCCACATTAGTAGGCGTGTATGGCATCCTCATTTCCCTGGCTTTACTTGGAGCCATGGCCGGCGCTATGGCTATCCGGAGAAATGCCGGATCCAGGGGTACTCGCTTCTCTGACATTATCGAAGCAACAAGAGGTCCAGAACTGGATAAGATGAGCCTGAGAGCATATAAACTGAGACTGAGAACAACATCGATTACTTCCAAAACGCCGAGGTTGGGTTATGGAAAGCTCAAGTCACTCATGGATGGCGAGAATGGGGTTAAGTCAAGCGAGGACCATACCTGTAGGATTGGATTCGGGTTTCAGGGCGACGTAGAACAGCCCCGGGATACTGCAAGACGAGGGAAGGATAGTTGAAGGATATAACGTTACAGCTCGATATCAACAGCTGCATATATGCGTCTTCTACCGTGGCCATAGGTCAATACACGAGTGATTTGGTATCATAAAGTACAAGTCCGTCAAGCTCATCTGCGCTCATCATACAAGTGCCAGGTCAAAGACCTTACAGAGCCTTGTCCAAAGTTCCCTTCTTCACAAAGTCCTTTGTCGCAAACTCTCTCTCGCCACCAGTGGTAATGTTCTTGTTCTTAGCCAAGCCCTGAGGGTCTCCAGCGGCCGTGTCAACAGCAGAGTTGAACTTTCCACGAATTACTTCGCCCATTCCCTATAGGTCTAGCATCAGCATCTAAATCACGTCTTCGACCGTGGCTTGATATATATCGGTGATACTTACGTGTCCCTGCGCAAAGGCGCCCTTGATCTGCTGCCCGATGCCGCCGCTGTGCGTCGTCGGCGCATCACCGCCACCGATCGTGCTTGTAGCGGCTCTGGAGGTCGAGTGCGCTGCTGGAACCTGGCCGGTTGCCGTAGTATGAGAAGTTGCCGTGTTAACATTGGGGTTCTCGTATGTGTTTGCGGTGCCGGCGGTCTCGGCGTTGAGAGCTGCAGGATTCGTGTTTGTGGCCATGTTGACGGTTGTTCTGATAGATTGTGGTTTTTTAACGGCGGGTCAATGGACTGAATCAATATGAAATATTCGGTACTTGCTTCTTCTCAGAATGTCATGTACTATTCTATGATAATACCTTGGTCACTTAAATACGAAAAAGAGTTGGTCGTTAGCTTCTTTGAACCTGGTCTTGTGATGCACCAAGGGGTGACGTCACGATAGCGCAAACTTGCCTTGTGGAGGTCGTCGATCTGTGGACCGTCGGATCCGGGTTGCCGCATGGATTGATTTCAGCCTCAATACGTCTCGTGACTTCTATCACACTTATTTCGTCCGTTTAAGAATATTCCATGGAATTAAATCGATCATGCCGGCATATCATCATATTTATTCCGCCCAAATCCAGACGGTGAAAGACTATCTGAAAACATGCCATGAACAGGCCGTGTGTTTCTGTGAGACTAGTTGTAGGTATTACAAAAGAAAATGCCTTGCTGGGAGGCCGGTGAGATACCCTCGTCTATGCAAAGAAAACGTCACATCCACCTGTCGAGGATGTATGATACCAGGATGCCACCTTGACAAAGAAAAGGTTCAAGCATATTTATCCTATCCACATCACCATGCCCCTCGTTCCCTCAACCCTCGTCCGGAAGTCGGTTATTAGCTGCGTTGACCTTTACAATGCCCCCAAGACGAAAACCATACCAACAAAGGACCAAACCCATCTTGACACCTCAACCCTCTCTCCAGCACCATAGTATCCCCGGCCGCCGCCCCAACCACCTCCACCATTCCCCCATCCCCAAGAGGCATCGAGTTCACACTCTCCATCGAAATCAATAGTATCCGTCCTTCCGATAGGCGAGCAGACAGGCGACGATGAAGATGATGACTCGGCAGGGTCATCGCTATTCCCGGTGCATGAGTTCACGGTGCTCCATGTCCCGTTGAGGCAGTACTGGAACGAATCCGAAAGACAGTTGTATTGGCCCTCATACCCCTCGCAGGACGTCTCGGCAGCGATGGCAAGGTGCGAAAGATCCTCTATGACTGTTGTGTCTCTTGCTTGTTTGTCGAGGCCTGGTTCTGGGACTGGGGAGGGTGTCGCAAATGTGCGGTCGACTAGGAGGGCTAGAACGAAGAAGACGAGGAGGGTCGAAAGAACGCTTTTGCGTCTGCATGGTTGAAGGCGTGAGAACATGTCGAGAAAGTTTTCAGAAATGTGGCTGAAGCTGTTGTCTACTGCTTTGAAGAAGAGGAAAGGCTTGGATTCGGGAAGAAAGGAAACAGAGAGAGATTAGTTCCCTTCAGCTCGATGTAGGATGTTGTGCGCGAGAAGGCTGAGACGAGCGTGTAAGTCGGCACATGGGCAAACAAACCTTACTCAAGGAGCACCCCGAGTATATACCCCCTCTTCTCCCCCTCTTTTCAGCTGGAAGACTATACTTAGAGTTGGCCGAGAAAGGACCCGAGGCCAGCCCAGTCCAACAAGTCCTCCAGACCCATCGAGGAATGACGAAGTTGATCAACAGTCTCCTTTACTACCTCCGTCTTCAGTGTCATCCTGGCAGGCTCGTGAAGAGACTATGACTGTCAACACATGTCGAACCCCCCTCGCTCCCGCCATATTGTCTCAGAAACTAGCTCCTATCGCCGTGAGACTGTCGGAGCTTGGGTTCGTCGGAACAAGGCACCGGACCGTCGCTGAGTTGTCAGCTGGACCAGAGTAGTGATGGTCAAGACGTGTAAACGTGTTATTGGGCCGTGGTTGTCTAGCTCGTTCATCGGGCAAAATTTCAAGGTGAAGTTTCCCATCAGCCTGATGCGCAAACAGCTGCAGGAGAGAAAATAGCATGGATCCTACGAGCTCTAGTCATGTAGATCGGCCAAGCAAGGTGTATTTCTCTTAAGCTTACACTCTAGCTTCCCTACCAAGACCTCCTCCTAAATTCTCCGGGAGTTGTCATGCATGAACGGACTCCCGTGGCACGGATTCGTCGGCACAGACCTGGCTCACCTTACGCCCGCCCTCTGCCCCATATCGATTGTAGAGGTTGCGAGCAAGCCCGCACACCTGCAGGAACCCGACTCAGTTCACAACTGTACAGGCAAGACATGATGGACATCTTCTGTTTCCTAGGTGTGGGTGACTGATCATCTCCAGGTGTGAAGCTAAACAAATGCAGAGTAGGAACGCATTCCAGGAAACCCATGAACCGGTTCGTGATGTCCAACGTGTTCTCGCGTTGGTTGATGGTGCTAGTCGGTTAGCGTTGGCGCTACTTTTCCTTCCGCGCACCAATGAGGTGACCGATGCCTACAGTTTCTGGAAGGCTAGCCAGCGGATAGTCGTCTCCTTATGGAAAAAAATGTGAAGCGGAAATTCTCTTGGTGTTGTGGTAACATTGCAGCTATGTTACGCTGAGCTGCGGCCTGGCATGCATTGCCCTACGTGACCCGACTTCCTCCGCATACATGTAGAATCGTTCCCAGGGACAAAGGTGAAGCGACGATGAAAATATGGATAAGAAGGATTCTCATCCCAAACGGATTCCAAAAGTCGAGGTTGTAATAGACAGAAGTCTGCCTAGGCAAAGTAACGCAAACGTCCAAGCCGGAAGCAAGTCGGGCTTGGTGAGCGGGAGTCGTCCCTCACATATGCCAAACCTCAACACGTCTAATTTCGTCATTGAAGCTCCCTAGAAGGCCCCCCAAAAACGAACCCATCATCATATCTGCCCTTTGATTCTCCGGCCGTGATATCTCCCAGCACTCGCATGCGAAGCGGAAGATTAAGAAGACCTCTTCGCCGCATTAGCCCGTCGTTCGCGAGCAACCCAGGCCAGGAGATAGTAACCCCCAATACCCAAAACCAAAAAGTCGGCAATAAAGAGAACAGGTCCCGCAATAGCACCGCGTGGCGTGGCGGGCATGGTGTTGCTGGTGTGATGATCACTCGTGTCATTCCAGCTGGCACTTTTGCTTCCCTTCATAAGAGGGTGCTTGGCGGCCATGATCTCGATTGGGAGATAGTACTCACGATGTAAAGGATGATTGGCGCTTTGTATTGCAGGTGAGGTGCGTGTGGCTGATGAGATCAAGTCTCGAGATGATGGCACACATGAACCAGACACTTGTAAGTCTTCCTGCCTCTCATTCTGATCTCTCGAATGGCGGGCATTTAAACGTAGGTTGGCGGCTTCAATTCTTCAGCTTCTGATTGCTTGCGACGAGGGCAGTATTTTTCGTCGCGTTTCGGGTACAACCCACACCTCTTTGATGGTCATGTCTTGGTCGGCATTGCAGTTGACATTGTAACTACGGCATTCTGCTTCAAGCACGTGGGAGAACGAGTTATCATATGTAACGGTTTGTTGAGTATGTACAAGTTCTATCTTATTAGACATTAGGAAACCCATTGATGACAGCGCTTTCCAGCTCTTGGTCTGTGCTGCTGTGAGCTCTCTTCCCACAGTCCGAGATGGCCCTTGGCCATGAACTATGCGTCGTTTCTCAGGGCTCGTTTGCACGTGCTGCTCATGCTTTGTGATATCAGACAACCTCCCATGTTCTAGCAGAACCAAATACGCCATGCTGGGAATATGCAAAACCCTTGAACAGTACACCAGATATAAGTCGTCTCTTCAATAATAGACAAAGGAAACCGGACCTCTGCTTCATCGGCGATAGCGAGGGGTTGCGCTGGCAGTGCCGTTCCACTCGGGGTACTTGGTGGTAGACCAGTCACCATCGTCAAAGCTCGTCGTGGACTCTGGGATCGAGGACGACGTTGTCACGCTGATGATGCTGGTGACGAAGGTTGAGGGTTGAGGGAAAGAGCTGGGCGTCTGCACCCATGATGTTTGGTAGGTGGTCTCATAGATCTGGGTGGGAGTCGGAAGCGTGTAGGTTTCCGTGACACTCGTACTAGTAGAGGACCAGGATGTTGTCGTCGAGATTGAGGATGATGAGGTCGTATTGGGCGGAAGGACAGAAGACGGCTCCATAGGGGGAGCTACATACGATGTCGGCTGAACCGGGGTTGCCGTGGGCGGGGGAGGCTGGATGACAACTGCTGAAGACTCAACCGGCGTCGATACCGGCACACTTGGAGCAGCCCACGTTGCTGATGACTGAGGGGGCACCACAATGACCTCGGAGGAGCTGGAGAGTGCGGCTGCTGAGGATGATGCTGAAGATGGAGCAACAGATGTCCATGTTGAAGGAGGAGGCTCGACTGCTCCCGTGGAGGGGCTGACGGACGGCGCCGGAGACGCACTTGGGGTAGCCTGAGTTCCAGTCGAAGGAGGAGGAGGCACAACGACGGCGGTGGACGAGCCGACAGGTGCTGAAGATGGTGCCACTGGGGTTTCTGTGGAGGGCGGCAGCTCGATAGCAGATGTTGATGGCGACGAAGGCACAGGCGAAGCTGGGCCAGGCGACGCCGACGTCTCGCTTGATGGAGGAGGCAACACGACAGGGGCGCTCGAGGATGGTGTCGGGGTCGACGAAGGAACGACAACGCTCGATGGGATGTCAGGCGTCGTTGTTGATGAAGGAGCTGGCTGGGCAGACTCTGATACTTGAGTTGACGGTGCAGCGGAAGACGGCGCTGGCTCGGCAGAACTTGGCGGAGGGCCAGCTGGCGGTGTGGCTGCTGCTGTCGTGGGCGTGGCAGTCAAATGTGTTGATTCTGGGGTAGGCTTCACACTTGGGTAGACAGTGACGGTTGCTGGGCCGCTGTCCGTAGTGCCATCGACGTTCACGATAATGAGGGATGTAGATGTCGTCTGTACTGGAGACGAGATCTCGGTGACGGTATCCGTGACTCTTTCTGTCACCGTGGTCTGAACCGGCGACCTGGTGATGGTGACGACTGCCGGGTCGGTGCTGGGACTTCCCTCGACATTGACAACCGAGTATGTCTTTGTTGGCTTTGTGCCACGAAGATGTAAGAGACGATCGATGAGGGGGATCGCGTTTGCTGCTGTGGAGACGGATAGCAGCAGCGGGAGGGAAGCAGAGGGGCGCATCTTGACGATGAACCAGCAGCTGCTGGCGGTGTGATGTGTTTGAGAGAACTCGTCTCAAGTCTGGTGCCTCAAGTTGACAGGCCTAGTAGATGCTGTGCTTGCTGTCGCTGCAGGATGAAAAACGGACCTTGACAGGATGGTGGACATTGATGTCGATCGAATACGAATAGTTGCAAAAGCGACTGTAGGGTATACGAGAAAAAACTGGAGAAGCAAAAGGAAAAGCAAACAGAAGGATGCGCGGGAGCCATGGTGGTTTTACTGCGCTGCACTAGCAAACGCGGATGGCTGGGTGAGGGAAGCTCGGAAAAGATCGTGATGGGAAATGGTGGTGGTTGGGAGGTTGGAGATGGCTCCATTTTGGTAATAGTGCAGCTTCCAAGGCGATTTGACAGTTGATCCAGGGGTTCCAGGTTCCTTTGGATGGAGGGGTAGGCTGGTTGGCCAGGGACACAGCGACACAACGGCACCAATGGCGGGGGAGCAACAGGCCCAAATGGCCCCTAAAAGGCCCAGGAAGGTGATGGGAGGTGGGCAGCAGCCAGGCACGCGTGGCACGCCAGGTACGGGCTGGGTTGAACGGCTCGCTTAGTTTACCGAGGTGGATCCAGTTAAGCCAATGAGAGCCCGTGAACGACGGCTGCCCAGCCACCCGCGTTCCTGTTGCTGTTGCAACTCAGCTAGGTAGGAGATTCGACACAGCAGCGTCTAGACCTCGCAAGGAGTTGAGAGGCATGCGTCCAACGTTTGGTCAAAGTGGCAGGTGCAAGAGTGAAACCTTCAACGGCAAATGGCCACAAGGGACGAGATTCCCATTCGCATTGCGGGCTGGTGGCGTGCCTTGTCGAACCACATCTCAGCACATGCTCTCGATGCTAGATTCCCAAGGTATGGAGGCTTCGTTATGTAATCACTGGCCACCGGGCACCGACCACCAGCCACAAGTCACCCGGAAGGTAAAGCCGAGGTCTGTCAGCAAGTGGCTGTGTAGCTGGAAGCGCCACTTGCCGATGGCCCATGCATCGGAACCTTAGCCTGTGGCTTGCCCCTGCGTCTTCCTTTCCCTCTTCCAGACGAACCCTTCCTTCAACTCTCCGCTCCGCTCCCACCGCAGCACCGCTGGCGCTTCTATCTGCCCGGTCCACCTCCTAAGCTTCTTCACAAGAAACACCCGCCAAAGTCGTGCATGGGCAAGGAAGCTCTGGCCCCCAGGGCCCAGCGTGCATGTCATCTCGTAGGGCAGCAGGGTCGCCGTCGATCACACCTTGCGCGTTTGTTTGCTCTACTTCGTACTCTCTCCTCTCTAGCTCTGGATATTTGTACTGATTAAAGGTCTGCAGCATCTCGAACTATGTCTTTCTACCCCGAATCAATGCCTCATTCTTTATGCAGTAAATAGTGAACAAACATACCCAGCACCCTCGCATCGGACTGCAGCAATGGCGGACAGGAACCGAGACATTTGGCAGTGTTACCTCGATTACGCATCTCTGTGGCGCTGACAGCAGCTCAGCAGGGTTGGCGCCTTGGGGAATGGAAACATTTGGACGTTCTGGTCGCTTTCTGTGGACCTCATCGCACTGCCCACGCCGCCCAGAAGTCGGTTTTAATCTTCCAGGTGGATGACGTTGAGCTTCTCTGCTGGGCGCGTGCCTACTAAGCCACCACACCAGCCTGGGCAGACCGTCTCGCAGCCCAATGACTTTGGCTTTCTGCTGCTGACTGCTGGGGAACAGCTCCGCGTTCGGGTCGACTCGTCGGATTCGATCTACCACCTTAGCTCAAGCTCTTACCACCAAAAGGAAGCAGGTGACGGCCGGAAAGGATCACTTCCAGCTTCCCCTCTCAGCAATAGCAGAGGGCCCAAACACGCAATTCTTGCCTCAGCAGCAGACTCACAGCCACACACTCGTCTCGTCGCCGTCACCTCGCTTGACTCTTGAGACCCCGTCGTGTCCGTCCGCCGCATGTAAGCTTTAAAATAAGCTACGCCGCCCAGTCCCATCTACGATTCTCTCATCCGACTTTCCGTCTTCTTGCATCTCGTCACCTTGTGCTGCCCCGCAGTCATTTACACAGTAGAACATCTACGAATACGCAATTCACCTTTCCCTAACATCCAATACCCCGCCCCCGCCGACCTCTGACGCAAACGCGCCCCCCGATTCACCCGGCATCGTCAACCGATCGAACTCTGCGCGTCGCATTCTAGACTTAAATGTCCTATCCAGGCCAGTACGGCTACGGCGCCCGTAAGTTGCATTCCGCGCCAATGCGATCCTCCTACGCTTGCTCTCTAGATCCTGACACCGATTTAGAGCCTCACGGCCAGGGCTACGGCCAGCAGTACCCGCCTCCTCAGCAGGGAGGCTACGGCGGATCACCATACCCTCCTCAAGGAGGCCAGTATCCTCCTCCTCAAGGCCCTCCACCCGGCCAATATGGTGCACCTCCTCAACAGGGCGGGTACTATCAACAACCTCCTCAGGGCCAGTATCCCCCGCAAGGCGGACACTACCCCCCTCCCCAAGGTCCTCCGCCAGGCCAGTACCCGCCCCATGGCGGCGCATACGGCGCGCCTCCCCCGATTCCTCCTTCGCCCTATGGCGGACACTCCCCCGCGCCCGGGGGCTACGGCGCACCACCAAATCAGTCGTATGGCGCTCCCCCGCCTCAGCACTACGGACCCCCGACCCCCGCGTCTATGGGATACGGCGCTCCGCAGATTATCCAGTGGGACGCCACGCCTGACGCGACGACGGCGCGCAACGCAATGAAGGGCTTTGGTACAGACGAGAAGACTCTCATTCGATGTCTGGCTACCAAGGACCCTCTGCAGATCGATGCCATCAGAACGGCGTTCAACAGGAACTTCAGACGCGATCTCGAGCAAGACATCAAGAAGGAGACAAGCAGTTGGTTCCAAAAGGGCTTGGTGTCTGTCGCCCGCGGCCCTCTCCGCTCCGACATCTACAACCTATACGAGGCAATGGATGGAGCCGGCACAAAGGAGAGCGTCCTCAACGACGTTCTCCTTGGCCGGTCGAATGCGGACATGCAGGCGATCAAGAGCGCATACCAGCAAACCTTCAAGAGGCGCCTTGAGGACGACGTCAAGGGCGATCTCAGCATGAAGACAGAGAGGCATTTCCTCATCGTTCTCGGTGCCAACAGGGCAGAAGACTCGGCGCCTGTTGTGCCGCAGCAAGTTGACTCTGATGTCATGGAGTTATACAAGGCCACTGAGGGCAAGGTTGGCACGGATGAGATGCTTGTTTGCAGCATCCTGAGCACCCGCAACGACAACCAAATCCGCGCCATCAACCAGGCCTATGAGCAAAAGTTTAGGAGGAAGCTTGAGGAAGTGATCAAGAAGGTAAGCCAGCCCACTGAACGTGCACGCCAGACCTGATGCTAACTTCGCGCGATAGGAATTCTCTGGACACATGGAGGATGCCCTTCTCTTCCAGCTCCGCAATGCTGTTGACAAGTACATGCACGCCGCCAAGCTCCTGGAGGACTCGATGGCCGGGCTCGGCACCAAGGATCATCTTCTCGTCGCGCGCGTGGTGCGTTTCCACTGGGACAAGAACATGCTCGCCAACGTCAAGGGCGCGTACCAGGCAAGGTACAACCGCAGTTTGGCGAGCAGGATCAGGGGCGAGACGAGCGGCGATTATCAGAGGTTGATGTTGGCGTGTATTGGCGAGAACATATGAGCAGTGATACGCGCGCGGAGTGCGAGACTGAATGATACCCCTGGGCTGGGACGGACTTTTCATGAGATAATGGCTGAGAATGATGGATGGACGAATGGGTTGGGAGGCCGTGAGTGTCTATGATGGCTGAGCTCGCAACGAGCAGAGACAATAGGATACTCGAGATGATTATCAATAGTGTGCTGTGATGTCATTCTGGACTCTGTTCTGGGCTTGCAATACAACAGCTCTTTCAAGGTTCTTTGGGTGGTGACACAATACCTCCATGTTTGTTCTCGGCGCCAAAGACGCTGTCGATTTCTTATGCCTACCAACCTTACCCAAAAAATCTCGGTTGCATGTAATTTTCAATGTCGCAATGCTTTGGGGTCGCTCAAGTGCTGACCAGGTTTTGCTGCTCATCACGGTGGCCCGAATCATGTGCGCCGCCTGCGGATTCACAGGTTGCGACAATATGTGGAGAGACTTTATTGCGACTTATTAATAAATGGGCTAAAAATGTTACTTTTTCCGTAGTAATTGCTCCAATTTAACGGCAAATCCTGAGCCGGACAATTTGATTGGGTGCACCGAGTCCAAGCGTCTTATATGTACTTCGCGAATGTGTGACAGATTCTCATGTCATGATAAAGCATCGGAAAGTGCACCCAATCAAAACGGACCTCAAGGGGTAAAAGCGGGTCTTTCCTGCCAAGAGCGCTATAGCGAGATATAGCACCTTCTTTGGTCCATACTTATAGCGCTCTCAAGGCCCCCATCCTTCTAAAATTGTCACGCTAATTAATTTTTCTACTAATCAAGACGTGGCCCCTCCTCCGCCCTAACTTTCCCTACTTTTTCACCTTTACTTAACGAATCCGTGCTCCACCACGACTGCCCACTTGCGCGGCACTTCGACGACGACGACGACGACGACCTGGCACCCACGATCAAGATCGCGAACTCGGGATCGACGTCAAACAACGCGTTTGATAGAAGATTGACGCGTCAAATCGTGGACAGTGAGTCGCTTCTTCTTTTCTCATTATTGAACCGTCACTGACACTTATAAAAAGGTTGCACCTGACCGTCTCTGGTTTATTAACGACGATCTCATTCAACCAGAGTCATTCCTTTTTTAACCAGTGTACTTGGCTTATTGACCATCATCTTCCACTCCCCGGCTTGGCCACAATATCACTTCCGACGAAGTGACCAAGAGGCTGGCCAAAGATGGCATCACCAATGATGCAGCAGCCTCCCATGGCCAACCGTGGCGCTTTCAGCCATGGACCAGTTCGCCAATCCGCATCACCAGTCATGCCGGCAAACCATTTGAATGGGAACGGCGCCCGTCCTGGCACCGCTTCGCATTCTCCCGTCTTTCATCAGCCGTCGCAACCAACTTCAGCTCCCAAGCAAACGCCGGTTTCTGTCCCTGTACCAGGTGCCGCGGATGGGGTCAAGCCCCCTGTTGTCCCTGTCACCTCTGATATTCCGCAAGGAACTCAGTCAGCGTCGCCTCAGCTTAGCAATAATCTCGATAAGAAAAAGAGATTTCACGACGACTACGCTCGCCTCTCCGCTGCTATTCAAGAGGCCGACCCGGATGCCGTTAGGCGTGCCATTCGGGACAACCATCCCAAGTGCCTACTTGGCTCACACTATCACCTGGCTTTTCTTGTAAGTACTTGTCGCGGGTGTGGCATCGCATATTCTAGGAAGGAGAATTGAGAGGCTCTTAACGAATTACGCATGACTGACCGTTGGGCAGATGAACGTCACCATGCACCAAGCCGACGTGGGAATCTTCCAGAGAGCCGTCAGGGACTTTGGCGCAAGGTTTCTGGAGGCCGGCAAGCACGAGCTTGTCAATGCCATGACCCCGGCTGATATCGATGAGGTGGCGGACAAGATTCTCGCCAAAGCCTCGGACACGTTTCTCGACAGGGCTCTCGTAGCTCGTCTACGCACTATCCAGGCACGCCGACTTGTCAATGCCCTGGCGCGAGCGGAGAGACTCGGATACGATGCTGCGGACATTGTCGAGAATGAACATGTCATCCCCTCCTTGCCTGGAACCACCCCTGCGGCTCCTGCTCAACAACAACAACAACAACAGCAGCAGCAGCAGCACTTGCAGCACCAGCAACAGCAGCACCAGCAGCTTCAACAACAACAGCAAGTTGCCCTCGCACGAACGAACTCCTTTCAGAGTGTCAACCAAAAGCCAGAGCTCCCTGTGCAACCCCTGGAGCCAGCAGATCCGGCCAACCCGCAGTGCATCTATTGTCATCGAACCTTCCCAGGGGTATCCGCCTACCAGCATGTAAGTGATGGTTCCGGTGGTGACCAAGGACAAGCTAACCGTCAGCAGCACGTCAAGAAGAAGATCTGCGTCAAGACGTCTCCGTTATCGAGATCAACTAGTGAGGCGTACATGTGCCCTCACTGCGCGCAAAGATTTGGCGGCATGGCTGGCTTGCAATACCACATGCTCAACAAGGTGTGCGGCGACTTTGGCGAAGTTATCAAGGATGATATTGCGTCGATTCCAAAGTCGTCCCTGCCACCACCTATCCTTAACCCACCCGTCAAACGTCCAGCGCCAGCTTCCGATAGTACCCCGACGTACATCACATCCGGGACCAACAGCCCAGCGCACACAACCCCCATGCCATCAAACTCCCAAACACCTCGTGCCAGCTCTCAGGCAGTTGATCTCTCCAACGCTCCACTGGGCACCCCTCAACACAAGGATATGGCCCATCTCACAGTCCATCAAATCGAGGCACTGAAGGGCGAGCTGCAGCTGGCCGAGGAGCAGTTCAAGATGAAAATTGACGCTGCGCAGAAGGCCGGCGGTGACCCCGATGAACTACAAAAGAAGCTTGCGGGATTTAAAAACTCATACGCATGCAAGCAGTCCACTATCCGCAAGAAGTATGGCATCAAGCTGCGCCAGCGACGCAATCGCGAGGAGATGGAGGCGGAACGCCAGCGCATGGGCATACCTGATGGTGTACCGCGCACGATACCAACGCCGAGTAAAGAGGGCCATGCTGACAAGCGAGCTCGTCTCAATGGCGAGGGTGATGCGTCGACGACGCAGACTTCACGGAACGTCACGCCGATCCAGACAGTCGCGGTGACGGACATGGCAAACGGTCTTAACGGTTCCAACGCGACGGCCGCCACACAGGATCCGACGGCGAGCATGTCGCAGCCGCCTGCGTCCGCACAGCCTATGGCCAGCCGGCCGCCGCCGTCGACATATCACCAAGGCAACTACAGAGTTGAGGTACACGTTCCAAGCCCGTCGAAAAAGATCGGGGCTGCTGCTCCAGACGAGAGTTTGATGGACAACACGCCATCGAGGGCGTCGTCCAGTGGCGGTATGACGGCAGAGCAGCTCCTCAAGCAGATGCGGGGCGGTGCTGGAGCCCCCATTGAGCTGAACGACGAAGAGAGCTCCTCTGAATCAGACTCTAGCTCTGATGAAGAAGAGTGAGCGCATGGTCAGATATTACAAGTGTGCTTTTTGGCGATTCTTTTTACATCAGCATTGTTTTGCGACGAGATTTGCCATCTCGTAGGACTCGGCAGACTTGTTCCGCCGAGAGATGAAGAGGGAGTATTTGCATTATCTGGACGCCAACATTCAGTCACTATTTCCCGGACTGCGACGATTCGGATACCCCCTCATTCCTCATTTTCGGGACAGGTATCGGAACATACTAGAAGGCGTTGAGGCATTAGCGGTACTTATTTTGAGATTTTTTAGACAATCCCACGGGAGATGTCGATGTCATTGAAGAGGTTCGTGGTCTTTGCTACAATGGCTCTGCGGTCGCATCGTCTCTGGTCTGTCTGTAAGAGCCTTTAACCTGGGAGGCTTGCAAGGGACTATTGACGTACAGGGGTCCAGATGACCAACTTACAAGGCGGGCAGACATTTCAACGTTAATTGCAAATAAAGACAGCGATCACAAACATGTGCCTGTCCCCTTGATGAATGTGATGTGGCTCGGAGACGTGTGATCGACAATCATGCAGGGTCGGCATTGAAGACCTGTCTCTGTGTATTTCATGTGCTGCCGCATGGGTACGACGACTCATAGTCCATGCTCCCTGCCTACATTAACGGACATGCCAGATAATTCGCACTCGGAGGGCCAGGCATTCGGGGGGGGGAAGTCTTCGGAGGTGACTGTTTAGTTTTGAGATGCTCGCTTTTAGGACAAAAGTTTAAATGAGGCCATGGGAGGGAGGCAAGGGAAACAGAACGGGCTGTTGTTTTCATAGGTGATATTGCGAGTAGCTTTAGGGGTGCAGGGCGAAACGAAGCCAGGTGTTGGGTCTATTTGCGAAATCGTGCAGCTTAGCTAGGTCTCGAGCGTTGCAGATGCAGCAAGGTCTAGAGACGGAGAGCTGCGGACGCAAGTTGGCTTGACCGAGGTGAGTGAATGACTTGTGATGGTGATGTGATGGCAGGTGACGGGTGGTGCGTGCTGGAGCCGTACCCGTGCTGTGGGCGATCGGACGGGTGTCAAGACGTCAAGACTCCAAGAGATGTGAAGAGGTGTCATTCATGTCATGGCAGCTTGGACTCTCGGACCGCGGACGGATTGACGGGAGGGTTTCACTTCACCGAGGATGGCAGCTGCTAAAGATGCCGCTACCGCGCAGTGCATTGCAGGATCAAGGAGTGCGTCGCGCTTTGTATTTGTTCTTCTGGGATACCTGATGTTTGCAGGCTCCAAGCGTTTTTGGGCCCTTGGTTCGAATGACTGGAGGCGCGTAGGTAATGGAGGGAAGGTGTCGTGACCGAAGTATATGGTTGCGTCAGTTTTTGTTCGGTCAGGTCAATTTGGTTATGCAGCTCAGGCTACTACTCTACTACTATACGAGCAATCATGATTGTTGGGGATCGCGGTTGACCCGACCATGGCGGCTCTACCCTAGCTGACTTGACCGAAGAATGCGTGGTCGAAATACCTTCACTTCATGGTCGGGTCAGATCAACTCACAATGCCCACGTCAGGTCAACTCACGGTACCCACGTCAGGTCAGGTCAAGCATGTGAGCAATGGTCGGCTCAGCTGTGGTCAACCCCCGAAGTGCAGGGTTCACACAGCTTGCCTCGCACTGATGAGATTAAGCGTATTGATTTGAGTTCCAGGGGTTGTTCATTTCATCAATCAGGCCCGGGCGTCCGCGCGCAATGAGACTTTTGTTGGAATTGAAAATAGGAAAGCGACTCACGGGCAATTATTGGTGTTTGTTGCATTTTGTTCACATTCAGCTTTGTCATCATTCTCGTCACTCAAATTCATGATGAATTGGCGCGTGTGACTGAGCGCTCATTCATTAAATCCATGGGGTGTTCGCGATGTATACCCAGCATGGAACAGTGAAGGGGTGATACTATGTAGACGACTGGCGAAGAGGCGCTGTGAGTTTGAGGAGATCGGGTTGCGAGGTTAGATGAAGGGTTCGGGGGCATCGGGAGGAGAGATAAAGAGGGTGGTCAATGTGAAACGTAGGAACGGTCCCTGGAAATTATGTGTTAAAGTGGCGCTTCGGAATGGTTCGTGGGCACGCCGGTTTACGCCACTCGAGAGTGCCGCCGATGAGTGGGATTCACTCAGTCGAGACCCCCCGATCTCAAGGACAAGCACGACAAGTTCTGATGGGAGGGGCTCTGATGAGTGGATGTGACGCTGGTAGGGTTGAGTTGTTCAGCGTTGGATTGGAGGGGATGTGGGTGGGATTGATCACTGAAGTGAGATGTTTATTTAATGAAACGATGAAACATTTCAACGGCATACAGCATTGCTAAGGTAAAGGCTTCGTTCTTCATTGAGGGGTGAGCCAAGAGTTCATCAACGTCGCGTCACCAAGCCAAGAGACGCACTCGTGTAGTGAATCCTTTCCAGACATGTTCATCGACAGGACTAATGTTCATCCTCAGAACCCATCCCCTCGCATGCAGTCCAGTCACTCTACAATCTGTAATGAACATCAGTCACTCAGGACCATTGACTGGGTTACAACCCACAACGCGGCAAAATGGAGAGAAAAGGGGGGTCCAAGAGGGGCCGCCCACGGCGCGGTAACATCCAATGAAGCGCCGGCCGGGAAGGGTACGGAGTTACTTGGCGTCGCTAGCCCGGGACAGCACCTCAGTTACTCCCCGGGCCCTGGGCCCCCTCGAAGACGATATCCCAGTGTCGACTTGCACGTTGCACGAGATATTCGTTGGCTTGGGGGTGTCATTCGCTACGGATACTTGGACTGCACTGCAGATGTGCAGTGCCTGTGGTGCCTGCATGTTGCCTCCCGCGTCCTGCATGCTGCGGTCGTCCAGGTTCAGGCCCAGCGGTTCAGCAGTTCGCACTCTCTTAGCAAACATCATACAGAAGGAAGCGCGGAGGTCCCCCAGGTCTAAATGTCGTTCGGGGACGAAGCTCGGGAGGAAGCCCCGTCATTTGGCTGAGGCGTCGGCCCGTCGTCTGATGCTAAGACTCTTGCTGGAGGTTGAGCATTGAGCAGTGGCACTCGTGGACGGACCCCTGGGCGGGGGGACTCGAGGAGGGCTCTAGCTCCTTGCTTGACTGATGTCTGTCTCTTGTCTCTACGTTTGGCATGTTGACTGGCCTTCAATGTTCCCGTCCGTGTCTGGGCCCTGGGGGGGCTGCGGGCTGGATCATGGATGGGAGGGATATGTGCCAGCAGCCAATGTGGTGCCAGACGGACGCCCGATGAGACCCTATCCCGCCCCAAGGTGCATGGTAACTTGGCGTAACTTGGCCCAAAGGCTTGCATGTAAGGTACAAGCAGGTCCGTCCCTTGGTGATCTTCCGCGGGACGAGTGGTAAGTGCCGGGTTCTGTGGTTTTCCCTTGTGGAGATGATGGAGAGTAGTGTAGCTCCGTCACTTCGTCTGTGATTCATCTTGAATTTGCGTTGGATTCTGTGGTCTCGACTCTTAAGCCCTTGGATGTTTCTTGTTTTCTCGTTTGTTTCTTTCTCTTCTCTTTTTTTCTTTCTCCCTCTCTTCGTTACCTCGGCTTTTGTTGTTCCTCGACTTGACAAACGAGGCCTTCTTTTCATCCATTTTTGAAGTTGAACTTTAGTTCGTGGGGTTTGCCAACTTTTGTTTGTGAATTACCCTTTTCAGCCAGCCAGCCTGTGCTTCCAAATCCATTCCACCCCACCACGCCCATCATCCCGAGTCACGAAACGAGGAACGGCACTTGGCCTCTGCGACGGCCTGTCTTTAGACGTGTTGATCAGTCCGGAGTCCCTGTTTCCAGATACCATCGGCTGGAAACACGAATAATCTTCTATTCGTTGCTTGGAGACCGCTTTGAGCCAGCCTCTTGTTGCTGTTGTTGTTGTTGAATCTCGAGACCCCGCCGGCGTCGAGGAAAGTATATCGGGATTTTGAGAGATCTCATCGGACTCCACTACATTTTACCCCCGCCGCCGAATTCGGACACGACTTGCGAGCGAGCCGAAAACCTCTACGATATTATTCGAATCGTATGCTATCGAGCTTGGAACCCATGGAAACCTGAAAGAAAGAAACCTGGCATTATTCATCCGTCGTTGGTGAGCAGCAAAAAAAAGAGAAGTCCAGGTCCAGGATACAATCAAGTGCACGCACTCGAGCCCATCACCGGTCACAGCGTTCGAAACGAGGAGACCCCCCCTCCACTCTTTTTCCCCTGCGGACGAAGGAAAACCAAAGATAAATTCATGCGAAAAACAGGTCGATAAGCATATCCAAGGAGATCCTATTCGGGAGCAGATCCGAAACATCAGACTGAAGTTGTGAAGCGCGGACGACAGCGACGCTGTAAGAGAGGGACAAGGGACGAGAGGCGCGGCGGGCTGTCATTGACTGCTTGGTCTGGTTTCTTTTCCTGCGTCTGGCTGCAGTCTGGCGTGTTTGCGAGGTTTGAGTCTTGTCAGTGTTTCCCATTGGGGTTTCTTGAGTCGAGAGGTCCGGGAGTCCATTTCGGTCGCCGAAGGGATACTTAACATCTTTGTTTCCGGTTCCCTTGAAGGACTTTTTTGAGAAAGGTTCAGGTGTAAGCAGCTATTTGCTTTGCTTCCCCCGTCTTTCGAAACGGTGCAACTAAAAGCAGCAGCAGCAGCAGCAGCATCGACTCGACCACGGACCGTTGCGATAATCGAAATCGACTACGACAAGGCCAGCGAGCCGAGGGTGTTTCGCCAACTCCAAGCGAAAAAAGGGAAGAGTTTGGTCCGCGTCGCATCGCATTCAAGCCGCTTCTTTGTGGTGTTGGGTGCACACGGCGATTGGTGGGGTTGCAATCTCTCGACGAGAAGTCTGAGAGAGAAAAGAGCGAGTGGACTTTGGAAGGGACGGGTGGCCCCCTGGAGGGAAATTGCACGGCTGCACCGTTGGTGCTTGATCGCCGCCGGCTGTCACTTTTGCTTTTCTTAACAGCGGTGCTAAGAAAAGCTGACCTAAGAAAGG